CTGCCTACCCCTATCACTTTGTAGAAAAAAGAATTGATTTCTTCTTCATTCCTGCTCTCATTTGGACATTTTGCCTTGACAAGGTTCAGATTCAGCTTCTCTGTCTTCTTTTGAAAGATCTCTTCTTAATGACCATACTTTCCCTTCCTCATTACTTTGTAATTTTCTAGCATTCCTTAGTACTTCTTCCAACTGTTTGGCACCGTTGAGGGTGATCCTCAAAGGTCGATCTTTCCCTTTTACATGTGTGTGTAGGCTCCTTGCACAATGCTCTTTATATGGTCCTCGGGTGACAGTTTTCTATCTAGAACCACCCCTAGATATTTCTCTTTATCAGAATTCTTTAAAGCTTTTTCACATAATTTTTAGGTTATATGTGGCCTATTTTCTCTAATGCTAATGGGATTGCTTTCAATGAAAGAATGAATGAAAGCAGTCCTATTAGCCGCGTTCCTTGGGGTATGGAGAGGGTTACGAGGGATAGCATCCAGATGAACACCTCTGTTAATAACAACTCCAGTTCTGAGAATAGCAGGATTACAGAAAGGACGCATGACCATTTTTCTGTAGAAAACATTGTCGCAGGTACATGGACAGTCAGGAGTAGAGGTGACATGGTCACAGTCAAGAAAGATAAGAGGATTGGACCCAGGATAGCAGCCTCATTAGACGTTGAGATGTAAGTCTCATCATAATCACACACTAAGACCTTGACAAAGCACTCAAGGGAGTGCAAAAGACTTGGTGTAAATTCCTTACATAAATTTCACAAATACACAAGTGTGGGTTTTTATCCTATGTTATTATGTCTGTGAGAAGACATTATCATTACTAATATTTTGACTACTAATATTGTCAATGATACAGGTCTATAATTAGGATGGTCTTCCCTTGTGTCACCTATGTAGACTGTAACAATGTTAGCCATTTTCCATACATCTGCAAGGACTCCGGTACACACAGATGACTGAAAAATCAAGTAAAGTGGAATGCTGAGCTTAGGTGCACATACTCTCAGAACCAACAGTAAAACTCCATCTAGGCCAATTGTTTTTTTCCTACTTAGCACCTTGAACACTTTTTCCAATTCGTTTCTAGACACTTCTATGTGCTCTGTTTTCTGGAATTCTTGTGTCTGGATCTCAGAAAATTAAATTTTGCACAAACTTTGGAACTGTTAGTTTAAGGTTTCACATACAGTATTTACTTTTAATTTTTCATGAATCTGTTTCCCATTTTTAACCCTCTGTATATTATCTTTTACCTGCAATTTACTCTTAATTAATTTATAAAATAGACTTAGTTCTGTTTTGCATTTGTCTGCTATCCCTTTTTCAAAATATCTTTCTGCCTCTCTTCTCACTGCTGTGTAGTTGTTTCTTGCTTCTTTATATTGCTGGTATGTTTGAGTTTGGAATCATCCTATACTGATTCCATTTTTGTGTCTTTTGGTCTCTGGTCCTCTTGGAATTTCTGTTAAACCGATTCTGCTTCCTAGTTCTGCAGGTCTGTTTTAGGAAAACTTAATTTTGTGCCTTCTTCATATATTTCACAAAAATTGACATACATCTCATTTACTTCCTTGCCTAGCAGCAAGTCTTTCCAGTCAATTCCATTAAAGAACTTTTAAGTTTCCCATAGTGTCCTCTCCAGAAATCAGGTTTTCAAACTGCTTCATTTTCCTTGTTCTTTTTTAGATTACAGCACAGTGCATACGTTATTTCCAAAAAGACATGGTCATTTTTGCTCAAGGGGATAGGTACTGAATGTCATATATCTCTTCTTCTTTCCTGGTGAATATCAAATCTGGCTTTGAAGGAACATCCCCTTTCCTCATTCTCATTCTTTAAACAACACTATGTAATTCCATACATACACAGTGATGATGTTTATTGTGTTTATTGGTAGCTGATGAGAGTGATGCTTGTGTCTAGACATGTGGGGAAAATAGGTTTGCCATGTGGCATATGAAATACTCATGCAAAGTGTGAATAAGTGAGTAAATTGATTCAATGTACAACCAATTCTTGAGAAATATATCTAAATATATACAATACTGTATGTACAATTAAAATTCCTTTGCATGATTTTTCTTCATTATCAAGAAGAAAGATTTCACATTATTGTACAGTATTTAATAATATACTGTATATATATATATATATGCAGAAAAACCACATGTGAAAAATAGAGAATACTAAAGCGTTTTCGACTCAATTCGCCTGCACCAGAGCAAAATAGAATGAAGAAGGAAACATGGTAGGTGCTTATACCCGCCAGGGCAGGTTACCTGACCACCAAGAACATAAGAATAAAGGTAATTGCAAAAGGCCTATTGGCCCATACGAGTAAAGATAAGGGATGAAACCTACAGACAAAAGGGGAACGAAAAAGGCGAAGGAAAGGGGCAAATAAGGATAACTGAACAAAACAGAAGCAATGGATAATATATATAAGTGCCGCTGGATGAAAAAATAAAATAAACACACATTAAATGGATGCTATATTGTATTGATGTGCTATATTGAAGCTTATATGGGGATCTAATTTGTACATACCAGGGCTTACATTAAGGCTGTTGTTACATTGTTTGATCAGAGCGACTCAATCACATTTTGTTCAATGAAACCCTTACTTTTAACAATACATTTTGTCCATACATTTTTTGTATGGACAAAAATATTCAACATATGACCATATTCAATATATGTTGTTGAATATGGCCGAAAGGATAAGATTAATGATTCTAACACGAATCTCCGTAATATTTCTTATGTTTTCTTCACTGTCGAGGGAAGTTGAAAAATTAACTCTCCAAAGTTCATTTTCACACTATATTTATGGTCTGATGACTAGGGGAAGCATTTTACAAGGCACTCCTTACATTTTCAAAGACAAATTTTCCTTACTCTGCCAATGCTTATATTCGCTTGGGGTGAGGTGATACTGGATATGATTGAGATGAACAAGTGGATGAATAGCACAATGGGTATTATAGGCCATTGCGTGTTCTATCTTCCCTGCTTCTGTGTTTGGGGTCTTGAAGTGGGTTAAATGTAATTATGTGTTAATTGGCTGTTGATTGCTGGTTTTGACTTTTTGATGTGTAGAGCCTCACTGATATCGAGTCTGCTGTTGTCGTTGTACCTATCGATAATTTCTGCGTTGCTTATTAAGATTTTTCTTGCAATGGTCTTGTTACGTAAGGAGATTATATGCTCCTTGATGGAGCCCTGTTGCTTGTGCATTGTTAATCGCCTAGAGAGACATTGTTGTCTTGCCTATATATTGAGATCTTTAGGACCGACAGTTCCCAAATGGGCATTTGAAGGCATAGACAATGTTGGTCTCTTTTAAGGCATTCTGTTTGGTGTCTGGAGAGTTTTTCATAAGTAGGTTTGCCATATTCTTGTTTTTGTAGTAAATTGTTAATTGTATCTTCTGATTTGTGTCTGCGGGGAAAACGTTCCTATCAATAATATCTTTCAGGACACTTTCCTCCATTTTATGAGACATCGAAAAGAAGTTCCTATAAAACAATCTAATATGAGGTACAAGTGTTGTGTTAGTTGATTCTTTTGAGGTTGCATGGCATGTCACTTTTCTTTTAATGTCTTCAACATAACTGTTAGAGAAGCCATTATTGACTAGGACCTGCCTAACTCTACAGAGTTTCTCGTTGACCTGCTTCCAACCAGAGCTGTGAGTGAGAGTTCGGTCGACGTAAGTGTTGACAACACTCCTCTTGTACCTGTCAGAGCAGTCACTAATGGCATTAAGGCACATTCCTATGTTCGTTTCCTTAGTGTAGACTGCAGTGTGGAAGCTTCCATTCCTTTCCGTGACTGTTACATTAGAAAAGGCAGCTTCCCATCACCCTCCATCTCATAAGTAAAACCTAACACCGAATTTTGCTCAAATGCCTCCTTGTGTTAGACCAACTAACACAACACTTGTACCTCTTATTAGATTGTTTTACAGGAACTTCTTTTCGACACCTCATAAAACGGAGGAAAGTGTCCTGAAAGGTATTACTGATAGGAACGTTATCCCCACAGACACAAATCAGTGGGCATTCACATGCCCACTTGGGAATTGTCAGCCCAACGAACTCAGTATATAGACAAGACAACAACATCCCTCTTTAGGCAATTAACAATGCACAAACAACAGGGCTCCATCAAGGAACATATAATTGCCACACACAACAAGACAATCACCTGGGATATTTTGACATGCATCACCAAAATAACTGATAGATACAATGACAATAGAAGATTAAAAATTAGTGATGTGCTGTGTTCATCAAGAAGTCTTGACCAGCAATCAATAAGCAGCTAATACACAATTAAACTCTGTACTATCCCAAACCAACACAGAGACAGTAGCAGGAAGAACATAAGCTGCTTACGTTCATGCGTGTAATAGCCTAATAATATCCATTTTGTTTCATCCACTTGTTCATCTCAATAATGTCCTGTACCACCTCACCCTAACAGAATATAAGCCTTTGTAAATGCATGGTAAATTTGAAAATGTAAGGAGTTCCTTGAGAAAAGAATCCCTAGGCATCAGACTATAATATAGTGTGAAAATGAACTTTGGGAAGCTATTTTTCAACTTCCCTCGAAAGTGAAGAAAAACATAAGAAATATTGAGAAGATTCATGTTAGAATCATTATCTTACATTTTTGGTCATATTCAACAAAATAAATAAATTATATATATATATATATATATATATATATATATATATATATATATATATATATATATATATATATATATATATATATATATATATATATATATATATATATATATATATATATATATATATATATATATACAGTATATATATATATACAGTATATATATATATACTGTATATATACAGTATATATGGTGACAATTGACAATCTTTTTTTATATTACATAATGATCCTGTTATTTATACCAATCTGATTTACTTATTGAAGAAGGAAAAATGAAACAGTATGTATTTATTTGCCTTTAACATTTCAGGCATCAGAAAAACAAGTAGAGTAGACCCTTCCTCACCTAACATGTTAGGTGAGCAAGTGGCAAAAGTTGACTCAAATTTGTCTAATTTTATATATTTTTTAAAACATTATTATTTGCAATATGTCTAAATCCAAAAATTCTACAGCTCCTACTGCACCTGAAGATGAACCCCATGAAAAAATAAAAGTATAAAAGGTAATGTTTATGCAGACAATAAGTCACAATGTTTATTGTAATCTACATCATTTGTCAGTTTACATATCTACTTTATACAGTAGGGTATACCTGTATTGTGTTTATGAAGTTAGGTCAGTACTGTGCTTCGTAATAATCACTGAATCTGTGTTTTGCTATACACAGTAACATTTACTCATGTAGCACAATTTCCACAGTTAGAGGTCTTCATAGAGAGGATCTCTAAAACTATGCAAGGGCCTTCTGTATTGTATATTCATACATCTTGCCCAGACTTTTATAATTATCTGTGTTAAGTTTTTATACAACTACAGCCCAGCCACAGACCAGGATGTGTTTCTTACAAGCAAGATCTTAACTTCTGAGGATATTTTTCACAAGCAAGACCTTGACTTCATTTCCCTTACTATTTAAGCTTAGATTCACATAATTGTTTAAAGAAAGTCTAATTCATCATAGGAACTAGTACTCTAATTGGATCTGTTGATTACCATCACTTTTGTGTAAAGAATACCATTCTTGCTGTAATAACTTTATCCAGTATGATTAACTTGATTACAAGTACATAATGTCTTTTTACGGCTATGCCTTTAGCTCAATATCTTTTGCTTCTTGCAGCTGCTTTGCCTTATTATCCTCCCAATTCTTGATGCATCTAAGTGGGATGCATAATATGCCTGAGGCTGCAAACAATCCCCCAAACACATAGAAACTAATGCTGTAGTTGCTGGTCAGGTCAACAAATGCACCTGAGTGGGAATAAATTAATAAAGAATTAAGATTACAATAGCAATAAACTGAAATCATTTTTGCTGCAGGTGACGAAGAACATTATATTCCTTATATGCAAACATATCAAATGATACAGTACAGTACTGTACTGTATTATGAAATGTTCTTAAAAATATAACTGTCCCTCACATCTCTAAATGTATTGCATAGTGCATGATGTACCTCTCTCCATAGTATGTCACTTATATATAGTATATAAAACATTGTTCAACATTATATCCCGCCAAACACACGACGAAACTATGACGTTGCTGCAACATTCAAACAAGTTGTAACAACCAATATAGCAAGTTGTAACAATGTTCTAATATGTCATAAAAATGTTATGACAAGATGTAACAACTTTATTACAAGTTGTAACAAGCAGAAAATAGGGACAGTTTTGTTGTGTGTTTGCAGGGATAAATGTACTAAAATACATGTGATTTAATCATTAAAATATATACAGCGTGTCTTCATTTGAATGAACTATCTGGGGCGAGACTGATTCGTCCCATTAAGGGATTCATTCTAATTGTCAGCCCCCAGGCAACCACCACTCCCCAAGACAGAGGGGGGAAGGGGGGTGGTGTACTACATCCAATATAATGCATATATATATATATATATATATATATATATATATATATTTATCAGGCTCCCGCCTGATAGCTCTGCCGGAGCTATCAGGCGGGAGTTGCCACAAAGATATTACTACCTAATTATTTCGATGTCTCTGACTGATTTTTCTATGTTTTTTGCTGCAATATTATTCAATAGTATGTAGTGTGATATATTTATATAATAAAATGTGTGAATCATCACTATACTCAAAAGTATTGTGATCATATTAGTGATTCAATTATTATGTTCATAAAACAATAAACAAATAGTTTTGCTGTTATTACACTATATACACAGGTTATATATACGTTTCTGCATGTTTTGTTCACCATAGTGAACCACTAAGCTGCTATGTTGAGTGCAGACAGTAACAGGTGGCCACACACAGCTGATGCTGCCTCCTTCACTGGTTCAAGGCCAGACGCACTAACATTCCTCCTTCAAGTATACTATTTGTGGTGTTATTACACTATATATATATACACACATGATATGTAAGTATCTACATGTTTTGTTCACCATAACTGTTCATCTAAGCTGATATAGTGCCCACAGAGCATAGTGGCCACCCTTGCATAGCATGACAAGTCATGCAGATGACGCCACCTCTCTCACCAAAATGGCTTTTCCCAAAACGCCTTTTGCTGTTATAATACTATATGTACATGTTATATATAAGTATCTACATTTGTGTTCACCATAGCAAACCACTAAGCTGCGATGGTGAGTGCAGACAGTAACAGGTGGCCACACAGATTCGACAGACGACGCTACAGCCCTTCCACCCTCAACATTACTCCTCCCACAATACTACGCACAGCGCAAATTATCACAACAATCCTGCTATTATCAGAATCCCGGTCATTTTTATCAGTCAGGGGTCTTCTGTAATACTATCATTGCTAAATAATACCAGTTACAGATATTTTTGACATTTTTAGGCGATGCTGTGGTCACAAGCTGAACAGCAGTGTTGTGAGCTCATGGTGCATGCGCCAGCCTTGGTGGATCACTCAATACTGAGGCTTTCACACCCGGGAATGTTGCCCACAATATAGTTTTTTTTAAATGGCATCTGTTTACAAGAGTCCTGAGGAAGCAGATGTGAACCCTGTGTAGCCACGGGCCATTTAAATCTTGAGCGGGACTCCAAAAATGTCATATGAAGGGGGGCGCACTTTCGATTCAATTACTCAATGCGTCATATGAAGTGTTGCACAGTTTAAGGGTTAATGAGCATAGACAGTATACCTGTATATGAAGCTCTGAGTTACTCTACTGTATTACTGTATTTTATTTTTATGATGCTCTCTATATTTTATAAGTTTTGTTTTTTGCCCTAAAATCACCCTGTTTGAGACACTATTGATTTTCAAGGAGTTGGAAAGACTTGTTATATTTATGTATACGACATATGCCCCACCACTTCTGCTTGGAGTTGAAGCCCTCAAGGTTGGTAAGCTTGGCTCCACTTCCTTTTCTCCACGTTGAGGTCCCTGAAGCATCTTAGAACCTTGGTAGAGGTGCCAGGAAACTGTTGTGGGGGATTGCCCACCTAAACTTGACAAGGGGACAATTATGTCTAAGATTTTCCTGGAGGCCTTACATTATTCTAATTTGGATCCAGAGTTTCTGTAGTCTTTTGCAGAAGGGGTTCCGGTTTGTGGATGATGACTAACACTTCAGCATCTTATTGGGATCTTGGTTCAACTGATGAGTATCCTGGTTAGGTTGCCACAACTTTTCTAGTGGATCAGGGAGGTTTCAAGGGTAGATCTTTAGGTGTAATTTAATCCTTCTTTGCTCTTGGTCCCTGGTGCCAAAGGTATTTTGATCCACACATTAGCGTTTTTGTACCCTCCTTTGTGTTTTGAGCAGGCTGACTTCTTTCTATAAGGCCTGCTTGACTTGTTGGCAGGTGATGCTATCTCAGTTTCAGGACTCTACATGATCTTTATCTCTGTCCATAGCCATTCCCTTTTGTCTTCTGTTTCCAGAGGTGGTGGTTTCCTGGGCACTTGAGGTAGTGTGGAGCTGCCTTTCAGTTATTTAGCTCAGTTTTTCTGTGGTATGATTCAATTTCCTCTAGCTCTTACATATACAGTATTCTACTTCACAACATTCTAACATATACAGTATTCGGCTTACTGAAAATGGAATATTTACATCTGCAAACAAAAACACCTTTCAATATGACACTTAGAAGTAAAAATCACTTATAGCATACTGCATAAAAAAATAATTTTGTTTATTCCTATGCAAAGAGTGTGATGTTGAAAAGCTTACCTGCTACAGGACTTCCAAAGATCCCTGCAATGCCTTGAAACAGTAGGAGAAGACCAAAAGCATTTGTCAGTTTCTCCAAGCCAAGAAGCTCCACAAGCAGAATGGAACGCAATGAAGCAAATGCAGCTGAAAAGATATATTAATGCAATTGCAATAATACAATGAGATTTGTAAAAACATAAAAATTACTATCATAAATTGATATCTAAGACTTTTAACCTTTGAATTTATAACTAAGACTTCAGCTGCACATCCCAGCAGGTGGTGGGGTGGCTAATTATAGCCAAACTGCATACCCCAACAGGTGATGTATTAGGGTACAGCATAAAATGTAAATGTTCTGCGTAGAAAACAAGACAATCATACGCTGCCCAGGAGAGATCTAGATAAAATAAGTGCTAAGAGCGTCAAGTGGCAAATGGAATTCAATGTGAATAAATGCCATGCTATGGAATGTGGAATCAGAGAACATAGACTACACACAACTTACAAAGTATGTGGAAAGGAATTACAGAACTCTATTAAAGAATGAGACCTAAGGGTGGTTTTGGATAGTAAGCTGTAAGAGGAATATAAGATAGTAAGCTAAGAGGAATACATAAAGAAGATTGTGAGGAGAGCGTATGTGTTGCTTTCCAACTTCAGACTTGCTTTAAATTATATGGATGGTGAAATACTGAAGAAACTGTTCATGACTTTTGTGAGACCAAAATTGGAATATGCAGCAGTTGTATGGTGCCCAAATCTCAAGAAGCACATAAATAAACTGGAAAAAGGTGCAACGGCATGCTACAAAATGGCTTCCAAAACTGAAAAACGTGTTACGAGGAGAAACTAGAGGCGTTAAACATGCCAAAACTAGAAGATAGAAGAAAAAGAGTAGATATGATCACCATCTACAAAATACTAACAAGAGTCTATCAAATTGACAAAGAGGAATTCCTGAAACCAGCACCTTCACGAACAACAGAACACAGATTCAAGCTAAGGAAACAAAGGTGCCGAAAAAATATTAGAAAGTATTCTTTTGCAAAGAGAGTGGAAGATGGTTGGAACAACCTAAGTGAGAGGTGATGGAGGCCAAAACCATCAGTAGTTTCTAAGCTTTAAACGGCAAAGAGTACTGGGAAGACAGGACACCACAAGCATAGCTCTCCTCCTGTAACTACACTCGGCCATAACTGGCTGACCCCTCACAGTGTTCAAGAGAGAACGTGACAAACATCTCCAAGGGATACCTGATCAACCAGACTGTGACTCATACGTCAGGCTGCGAGCAGCCGTGTCCAACAGCCTGGTTCACCAGTCCAGCAATGAGGAGGCCTGGTCGACGACCGGGCCGCAGGGTCGCTGAGCCCCGGAATCACCTCAAGGTAACCTCAAGGTAAGGTAATTAAGTATCCACTCGATTTAAGAACCTCTTATTTACCGTTCTGCCGGAGTTTTAACAACCAAATTTTAGATCGTTAACTGGCACCTTATTTACCGAATCATTGGCTGTTAAACCCGAAATACGGTATTGAGTATACAGAGCCTTGTACATGTTGTGTGGTACTGGAGGTCACTATTATATTTGTTGTGACAACCTTGTCCTCACTAGGTCAGTGGTTACATTTTCCTTTCACAGATTTCACCACTTCAGTTATGCAGCATCTAATCAGAGCCAGTCACAGTCGCAACCAATCAGAGGCAGCCATGGTCAAGCCACAGTCAGTCAGGCATTCAGTCACAAATCACAGTCAGTCAGGTATTCAGTCAAGTCACAGTCAGGCAGGCATTCACAGTCACAAGTCAGTCAGGCATTCACAGTCACAAGTCAGTCAGGCATTCACAGTCACATGTCACAGTCAGTCATAACCAGTCAAAGGCAGTAAGGCATTCACAGTTGTGGTAGTCACCAGTCACAGTTTGTAAACATCATTCTGATGTTGTTTACAGAACAACAATATTATGTACTCTCACAAACCCAATGTACCTTCTTGTAAGCCAATAAATAAATAAATAAAGATGGCAGGCAGGGCAGTATGACTCCAAGGCCATCAGCTGGTAAGAAGGTAGCCGAGAATCTAAACCATATCGTATTAATCCCGTACGGACCATCTAGACGCAGCTGGAGAGTTGGGAGATATTTCTGGGAGGGTCCAGTTTGGAGATGGGGTGGGGGTATTAGGATATAGCAGGGATGGGGGAGCTAAGGGGATGGGGGATCTGAGGGGATGTGGGAGCTGAGGAGATGGGGGAGCTGAGGGGATGGGGAGCTGAGGGGATGGATCATGCGTGACCACAGCCAGTCTGTGATAGTCAACCACACAACCCACCCACCCAGAATCCACCCCACCTGTCCACCCACCATGCCACCTTGCCTGACCACCCAGCCAGTCCGTCCGCCTGCCCACCCAGCCAGCCTCTCTCCAAACTCTCTACCAAACTCTCACAAGTCAAGTCTGGCCTCGGGCCGGGCTTGGGGAGTAGAAGAACTCCCAGAACCCCATCAACCAGGTATCAACCAGGTATCAACCAGCCTGCCTGCCCATGCACATACCCACCCTGCCTGCCTTCCAGCTAACCACCACTCCATCCACCTACCTAACCACCCACCCACCAGTTATAAAAATTGTATGTACATTTATAATATAATAACTGCTATAAATATTAGAATAATAAAATAATCAATTAACAAAATAATATTGGTACAATTAAAGTAAATAGTGGTTAGAAAATAGTCAATTTAGATGAAATGGAATAGGCTACTGGCTTTAAGAAATAAATGAAGGACCAGCTCAGAAATGGAGCATTTTTCATTTCAGTGAATGCACTCTTTATATAAAGGTATATTGTGATACCTACCTACAGACAAACCAAAGGCAACAGAGTAGGCAAGAAGAAGGGACTCATCGGATATAAGAGGCAGCAACACAGTCGCTCCACCACCCAAAATCAAAGAAAAGTTGCTCACCCACAAAGCATCAACCTGTAAATATACAGAATTACTAAATATGATACATACAATTTTAAAATACATATTTATTATAATGTTCTTGTTAGCTACATATTATAATTTACACTGTGGAAAATTTGTAATGTCTTTTACCTGATTATATATACAGTACAGTGGAACCCCGGGTTGCGAGCGTCCCTGTTTACGAGTTTTTCGGGTTACGAGCCCGATTTGGTCAGAAAATTTGCATCGGGATATGAGCATTGCCTCAGTTTACCAGTGCTTCGTGCCCAGTGACTATCCCGCCTGAATTCTTCACAAGAATTTATAGTTTTTTGTCGGATTTTTGGCCATTTGAGCATAAAAGTTATTATATATCTCGCCATGGGGCCCAAGAAAGCAGGTGGTAAGGTTTAAGGCAAGAAATCACATGTGAGAATGACCATAGAGGAAAAACAAGAGATCATTCGTAAGCATGAAAATGGTACACGTGTTGTTGAACTAGCTAGGCAGTACAACAAATCTTCAGGGGAGGAAGAGGAGGCAGTAGAGAATATCCCTTCCTCATTAATTAAGAAAATGTGTGCAGTATGGGAAGGACTGCAAAGTTTTGCTGAAAAGAATCACCCAGATAAAGCTGTAGTAGGCCGTTCCATTGATCTTTTTAATGACAATGTGATGCCTCACTACAGACAAGTGTTGCAAAGAAGGGAAAAACAATCTTCAATGGAACGTTTCCTTGTGAGAAAAATGAGAAAATCAAGCAGTGAGCCACAACCAGGTCCTAGTGGTATGTAGGCAAAATGTGCCAGAGTGTGCACTCCAGAGAAATCTTTATTGCCTGATGTTATAATGGAAGGGGACTCCCATTCCAAACAGTAACACCTCTCCTCCTTCCCTCTCCTCACCATCTTCCATACGTCAACAGGAGTCATAAGCAAGGGTAAGTAATAACTTGAACATACCTTTGTAGTGTAGATTTGGATGAATTAGGTATAAAATTTAGTTTGAGGTGAAGTTTTTGGGTAGTCAGGAACAGATTAATTTATTCTCCATTATTTCTTATGGGGAAATTAGCTTCAGTTTATGAGTTTTCGGGTTATGAGCTGTCTCCAGGAACAGGTTAAACTCTTAAACCGAGGTACCCCTACTGTAATATTTGGTTAACAATATTCAAAGTTAATTTTCCCTTACTGCTACCTCCACACATATCATGTGATACTAGGCATTTGCAAATCATTTATTATTTATTTTTTTTATTATTTATACATACGTACAAGTTCTTACATTCTTGTACAGCCACTAACACACATTGCGTTTCGGGCAAGTCCTTTATCCTAATATTACCCGGAATACGATCTGCCAAATCGTTTAACAACCAGGTACCCATTTTTACTGTTGGGTAACAAAGGCTACAGTTAAGGATTGACACCGAATAAATCCTCCGCGGCCAGGATACGAACCCAGGACAAAGCATTCGCGAAACGCCAAGCGAGGAATTCACCACAGGGACAGTAAAAGCTTACAGATCAGACACAAAAACCTAGTCGCCCCCCCCCCCTTACAAAGGTGCAAAGAGCAGGGGATGATAGATCACCCTAACTGAAAAAATAAGCCACCAAAGGTGTAGAGCAAAACAAACTAGAGATCAGCAAGTCAGATATAAACAATGAGGCTGTATTAGGCTGTTAGATTACTAGCTCCCCTCCCCCCCATCCCTACTGCCAGCTGGCAGCCTCAGGAGCTCCCAGTTCAATAGAGCCAACTAAACACCACCAACATATCTAAAGGCAAAAAAAAGAAGGTTCAGAAAGTCAGTGAGGGGACACACCAGGAGGTGTTTCACTACATTTAACACTGGTTAAATCTAGAATTCCCTAGAATTTTTTCCCTACATATCTCGTTTAATTTTTCTACATTTCTTGTATATTTTTCCTCCCATTTTTCGTTTACGAACTTACACGGTAACCGACGGGCCTCATCCCCGAAGGGTTCACAAAGCACATGGCCCTCTGTATGTCAAATTTATCTTCCCCGGTAGCCAGCTTGAATTTCCATTTCACAAGCAGCGTTATCTTCTCTGAGCAGTTAGGGGTTCCTTCCCTATGAATTGACTCCTCCCAAGTCATCTTGCTTCTGGATGGTGGATTTCGTTCCAGATCCGAGGCTTGTTGACGAGGTGTGATAGTAGTTAGCTGTGTGCTTGTGTTGCCATCATGCAAGGCTGTATCCCCTGTGTGATCAGGCCCAGAAGGGAAGTTCCTACCCCAGTTGGCCTGCCTCAGCATTCTGGTTAACTGGCATAAGTCCCAGTTGGTGCCCTCTGACATTCAGACTTAATTGGTTCTTGGTCTGAGATTCCACGAAAGCTAACCTTTCTCTGTCCCAGTCTATGATAGGTACTGGAAAGGTCTCAGCTTTTCCTGTCAAGAACTCAAGCAACTTTTGGGTAGTTTGAACTTTGCCTGCGTGGTTTACCCTCTGGGCCATGTATATCTTAACAACAAATAGATACTGAAATAAAATATAGTAAAAGAATCCTATGTGAAAATTCAACTTAAAAGATTTGTACCCAATTTCAATGTAACCAGAAGTTACTTTTACACAGTGGTCATAAAGCAATAATTGTTACAACTGATGTTGAGAAAACTTCAATTACAATAAGGTTTCTATTTTCACACAGTAATTAAAGAAAAAATTGCATTACTGTAGAAACATTATTTTACAAAATATTTCAGTAACAAGTGTGGCTCTTACCTTAGGATGGTCTGACACCCAACCACACAGAATCCTGCCTATTGTGTTGGTGATACCAATGGTGGACACCAATGTAGCAATTGATCCTTTACTTATTCCTTGTTGTTCTGCATACCCTGAAAACAAACAAAAAATTGCATACATCTCTTGCATTATGGGTGATTGGACTGGGAGTCCATCTTCCTATTTCCCTTAATTTGAAACATTATCCTTGTTCATTTTGTCTGTTTCAGTATCTAGTACATTTTTTTTTATTTATATATACCATACAAGAGTTCTTACATTCTTGTACAGCCACTAGTATGCGTAGCGTTTCGGGCAAGTCCTTAATCCTATGTTCCCTGGAATACGACCCCGCAAAAAATGGTTTAACAACCAAGTACCCATCTTAATGTTGAGTTAAACAGTGGCTACATTTAAGAATTTGCGCCCAGTAAATCCTCCCGGCCAGGATACAAACCCAGGACAAAACGCTTGCGAAACCCCAGACGAGCGTCTTAACCACTACACCACGGGGACTGTTACATCATCAGCATATCATCTCTGATTCTTATTTATTTGTTTTGAGTAAAAGAAAAGGTGTACATAATATGGAATGGTTATATGGCAAGTAAAAACTGGCCACTGAAAGGTAAACATCATGTAAATTAAATTATTGACAAATCTAACCTGTAATTTAAATATACTGTATTAGAAACTGTTATATAAAAATTTGTATCTTTATAAAGAAAATTAATTATATAAGATATTTACATATTAACTTAAAATATTATAATACAAGAATTTGAACAAACATAACTAGAGTATATATAATTACATAAATACAAAAATATATATACCTTTAGAAGAATGCAAAGAACAACTGACCTGGCAAGAACATGAATGGAACAAAGAGAGCCATGAGAGACATGAAGCCTGCCACACTCAGCACCACAAAGGTCGGTGATGCCAACAATGAGAAGTCAAAGATTCTGGTGATAATGTTGGTGAGCGCTGTGGGGCAACAATGGCACCTTCCACTGGCCTCTTCTTCAGCAATGTCCTCCATGGGAGGCAGCTGTGTTACTGACTGGTGGTATTTATCTACAGAGTCCTGTATTACACAAGTACAAGACATTGATCACTCTCACAAGGATTTCACTAATTTGTATATATATTAAGGGGCCCGGTGACTGAGGAGTATTTTTCCAAATGAGAAATATAGTGAAAAATTTTAAACAAATCTCCCGTTATTTGGCATCAGCGTTGTGAAAATTTCATCCCAATATATTAAGAAATGAATTTGTTACGAATTTTTAAAAAATAAATGAGTGCAGAATGGGCGGCAACCAGTACTGATAATAATGATAACACCTCCTATTTACTGGAAATCAGGGAGAGAGAGATGCAAGCACCTGTCCGACGCACAAAAAGGAAAAGTAGTAGTAAGGAGGGTCCACAAAGTGGATATGCAGCTAGTGCCACCTGGAGGGCCAGATTTCACACATAAGAAGAAGTTACTGTAGTAGGTTCTTATGCTGTATTTTATTATATATCATATAAATACATTGCCAAATGGCAATATTTTTTATGTCCCTTTGTACAAAAAGCTAACAACCACTTTTTTTAATGTGTATTTTTGGTTTTTGGTTTTTCTTGTTTTTTCTCTCCTTAGTTTCTATGGGGATTTTATTGTGACTTCTACATCTTGGAGAATGCATATACGGCACTAAGCACGTGAAGTTGGAACCAAACTGGTCAACATGTTAATCAGCCACAGGTGGCAGAAATTGTAACTTGTTTTTTTTGGCCGATTTATTTACAGATTTCAAACTCTATTCTCTTTGTCTCTTTAGGTTGTATTGATGAATGAGGACCAGATGAGGGCCTTATCATTTATATATAGGCAATAAAGGTACTGCAATATATATGTTTGTTATTCCCTAACCTATCCCTATACAGTATTTATTTTTGTGGGGTTATTTTCTCTTGACTTCATTTCAACACACATTGACCTACAATTTTCACATATTTGAGTACGAATGCCAAGCAATTTTTATTAAAACATACAAGAAAATTAATTAATTAGAACTACCATATTCATTGTCAATAACTTCAACTTCAATTATCTCTAAAACAGGAATTTCAACTTTGAGATACTGTAGCTTCAAAAATTTAATTTCTGATAGATTCTCACCATTTTTACATATTATGTGAAAAGTTCTTAGTTCTAAGGTGTCCTCACTGTTGTTTAGTCATAAACCCATAACTTTTGGAGTTTATGAAGCATTTTTTGCATCTAAATTTTGCACATATTTGGAAGGCCACATTGTATAAATATATTTTTATATTTTTCAGTGAGGAACATATACATTATATGCCATTCTGAGACCATAATGAATAAAATAAAAATTGGTGACATTTTAATATTTTTAAACCTAATCTGAAATTGTGATTTTTTTCTTTTTTTATTCTGGGGGGAGACCCTTCGGCTTCCCGGAGCTATCCAGGCTGATATGGATATATTAGACTTTGGCATCAGTCATGTGAATGCAGTTCTTAGGCATACCGGGGACTATGAGACAGAACCTGTCCCCCTCAGAGAGGCACGAGGAGCAATGGCCTATGAAAACCGGCGATGCGATGACATGGTGACGTCGTTCTCGTTTGCTCATTTTCATTTGGGGAGTTCTGTCCACTAGTTCGGCTTCCAGTAGCAATATTTTAACCAGAATAGGGGTTTGTTTTGGGGCGCTTACCTTTCTGGGTGCCTGACCCGGTCGAAGGCAGACATGGAATGCTTCCAACCACACAGAGGTTTCCATAGGCCATTGCTCATCGTGCCTCTCTGAGGGAGGGCCAAGTTCTGGCTCGCGGTCCCCAGTAGGCCTAAGAACTCCATTCACGTGACTGATGCCAAAGTTTAATATATCCATATCAGCCTGGATAGCACTGGGGAGCTTCCGGGTCTCACCCAGAAAATGGTGTTTCATTACATTCAACGCTGTTATTTTTTTTGTTCCGGTTATGATGTTGGTCCATTAGAAACAGTTGGATCATTTACATTAAGATATTATTCACAAAAAATTTGTGTGTGTTTGAGGAAGTTTCAGTACACAAGCACCGGGCCCCTTAAAGTATTAAAAATTGCATAGTACTGTACTGTATTTGATTTACAGTTTATTATAATGACTAAGAAATTCAGAAAAATCCAGATTTTTGTATAACATATACTGTCTAAACTTACACAAGTATTTATATTGATATAATGATGAGGATGATGATGATGATGATGATGATGATGATGATGATGATGATGATGATGATGATGATGATGATGATGATGATGAGGATGATGATGATAGTGGTGGTGGTGGTGATGGTAATGATGATGATTGAGATGTGATGAGGTGATGATAGAGATAATGGTGGTGGCGATGATCACAACAAATAGATATGCTTCAATAACATAAAAGCAATGAGGTATAATAACCACATAAGTGCATTGAGTACAGTCCAGTGAATAATAAGTACAAACAGTGTAATAAGTACAGGGTGGTGAATAATAAGTACAGGGTGGTGAATAATAAGTTCAGGGTGGTGAATAATAAGTTCAGGATGGTTACCTTGAGGTTACCTTGAGGTGCTTCCGGGGCTCAGCGTCCCCGCGGCCCGGTCGTCGACCAGGCCTCCTGGTTGCCGGACTGGTTAACCAGGTTGTTAGACGTGGCTGCTTGCAGCCTGATGTATGAGTCACAGCCTGGTTGATCAGGTACCAGGGTGGTGGTGATGTTGGTGGGGTGGTGTATAGTAAGTACAGAGTGGTGTATAATAAGTACAGGCTGGTGTATAATAAGTACAGGGTGGTGTATAATAAGTACAGGGTGGTGTATAATAAGTACAGGGTGGCGTATAATAAGTACACACAGTGTAATGAGTACAGGCTAGTGAATAATAAGAACAGTTAGTGACTGGCAGTGAGGGAGGGAGGGAGGTTGTGAGGGAGAGAGGCAGTGAGAGAGAGGCACTGAGGGAGAGAGGCAATGAGAGAGAGAGAGAGAGAGAGAGAGACAGGCAATGAGAGATAGAGGCGGTGAAGGAGCATGGCAGTGAAGGAGAGTGGCAGTGAGGGAGAGTGGCAGTAAGGGAGTGGGGTAGTGAATAGAGAGTGGCAAAGAGGGAGAGTGGCAAAGAGGTAGAGTGGCAGAGAGGGAGGGAGGTGGTGACGGGAAAGTGGCAGTGAGGGAGGAAGGCGATGAGGAAGGAAGGTGGTGAGGGAGGGAGGTGTATGGAAGGAGGGTGGTGAGGGAGGAAAGCGGCAAGGAAGAGAGGCGGTGATGGAGGGAGGGTACGAGGGATCGCTGATCAAGCACCAAGTTGCCAAACCCTCCTGCCCTATTAAAATTTGTAATCTTAGCTGTACAATATTTATGCCAAGATATGTTAATTTTCTTGTTAAGTGTACAGTAATAGTATACATTATTATTCATTAACATGTTTTATTGCTTCATGTTTATTAATTAAATAAATACATTTTTATTTGTGTATTTGTGTGTGTATTTGTTGTATTTGTGCAAATACACTTTTATTTGCACAGTTTGTATTTGTGACCAACAGCAGACAAACTGTGTGGGATCTAGGGATGTAGGGAAGAGGTCTCGGTGGTTGGGGTAGAGATAAAACAGGCTACCTCCAATATGGAGGTAGCCTGTAAGCTCGACCCCGTTGCCAGAATTTTTTTCTTAAATTCAGCATGTACATCGTCCTATATATTTTTAGTTATATATTTTGTTTAGTAATATTATTAGGATAAAAAACCAGCGTTAAATGTAATGAAATGCCATTTTCTGGGTGAGACCTGGAGGCTCCCCAGGAGTTATTTGGCTGATACGGATGTATTAGTTTTGGGCTTCAGTCAATGTACATGGAGTTCTAAGCCTACCAGAGACCACGAGCCTGAACCTGGCCTCCCTCAGAGAGGCAGGACGAGCAATGGCCTATACCGACACCGTATATATGGTTTAGAAGTACTCTGTGTCTGCCATCGACCGGGTCAGGCACCCAGAAAGATAGGCGCCCCAAAACACCCCCCCATTCTGGTGAAGAAATGCTACCAAACACCAAATGAGTGGATAGAACTCTCCATGAAGAAAAATGATCAAACGAGCATGACGACACAGGGAGGTATACCAGGGAGCCTCCAGGTCTCAGCCAGAAAAGGCATTTTATTACATTCAATGCTGGTTGAATGGTGGTACAGTAATTATGGTTGTTGTGAAATTAATGGTGTTGGTAATATTGGTTGTTATAAAAGTGATGGTGTGGTAATATTGGTTGTTGTGAAAGTGATGAGGTGGAGGTGTTGAAAGTGATGGTGGTGGTAAAAGTGATTGTAGCAGTGAAAATAGTGGTGATGGTAGACGGGTGAGAAATGGAAAGATGGAGAATGGGAGGCAAGAGATATATTACACTATTTAACTATAATGCTAAACTTTACTAGTTATCAATATATAATACTTATATTTAAAGAATCTCACCATTTGGCCAGAAGGCTGAAAAGAAATACAACATGGTTAAATATAAAACAATAAAAACCAAGCATTGAATGTAATGAAATGCCCCTTTCAGGTGGGGACCCCAGTAGCTCCTGTATTAAAGCACTAGTATTGCCAAGCTTTAGTAAATTGTTTGAGAGCTGTGAGACTGAGCCTTGCCTACTGGGAGCTACAACCAGAATGTGTCTATCTGGTGAGGGGAAAAGCTTGAGATAAACTCCAAACCAAGGAAAACCCTACCAAAAAAGAATAGACACAACAAAACAAAGGACTGCTTGAAGGAAATTTATAAGAGTGAGGTCATTGCCATAGGGGTAAATACCTTAACTGTGATGTCTCCATCTGTCACCAGATGCTGATCTAGGTCATCCGCAAGTTATGACCAGCTTGCTGGCTCTCATAGGAGCTGCCCAAACAGTCCCCCCCCCCTCCTCTTATCCTCGTAAATGCTCCATGAAGAAGAGACAGGGTGGGGACTCAAGAGCTACTGAGGGCCCATCAGAAAATGGGGTTTCATTATATTCTACACTTGATTTCTGGAAGAGCCCCTTCAGTAGCTTTTAGGTCCTTTCCAGATATTTGTGCATCCATTTTGTTTTATGTGAATATTGTAGTGTGAATATTACTACTGTATTATAAGATGATATCAGATAATATTGATATTAGATAATACTGATATTAGATAATACTGATATTAGAAAATATTGATAATAAGATATTAGAAAAATAATCTTGCAAGAGAGATAAAAACTGAATGTGAACCTACTGAGCTTTGATACTCTGGGAGGCGATATAAAGAACCGGAGTAGAAAATATCTTCACGGTAAAACGGTCGAGCAATCTCTGTTCGCAAAGTCAATCGTGATGGGCGACGAAGGTTTTCTGTTGAATTATAAAATCATATATAGTATATCAGTTCAGTAAATACTTTAACACTTAATTATTACCAACTAATGCCACTATGTTGCTTGCTATACTGGTGTCACATCATACAATTTTATATGACCTACCATCAGATAATAGACTTGGTTGAGCAAGAACTGGGGCACTTTTATTCCGCGGGCAAGTGTTTGCATCAGCGGATGTACCATTATTATGTTCGCTTCCATTAGTCATATTCTTAAACTGTGTTTCATTCTTGTTGTCATCTAACACGCGAGCATTTTTACAATCGGCTCCATCACTTGCAGTTTCATCTTTTCCCTCAGACTCTGAAATAATCAAATAAAATTCTAATATCTATACATCTATCAACCTAACTATTTCTAATATAATAGGGAAGAAGTATTGCATCAAATCCAAAACCAAACCTCTCGGTACTTTTGTACTTTGTAGTTATTCCTCACAACATACAGAGAAATGAAGGATGTATTCCATTAGGCATAGCTCTCAAGGCAGAGAAATAAATCCCACAATCAAATTGTAAATAAAAATAAGTGAATTTATAGTACTAAAAAATATGAAAAGCACTTTCTTGAAAAGATAATTCTGTTCCTAACCAAAGCAAGTTTTCCCTACATTCTTGAATGGAAACATGAACAGTCAGGAAAGACGATATACAGCACAGTATCTCAGGAAATTTGTAACCATTTTTTGGTATTAAGGTAGAACTGGGATATTCTGGATAAGTTCATCCAGCCAAAAGTATTCTTCCTATGGCCAACAGCTGGCAGCACAGTATGTATTCACCTAGTTGTGCTTGCGGGGGTTGAGCTCTGCTCTTTCGGCCCGCCTCTCAACTGTCAATCAATCAACTTTTAATAACTACTAACTTTTTTATTTTAGATTTTTTCACACACACATGTTGTGTTGTTTTGATGTCTTGGTATGTCTTTCTGGAAGGGATGAATAGTGTCTTTCTGGAACAAATGAATGGTATCTTTCTGGAACAAATGAATGGTATCTTTCTGGAACAAATGAATGGTGTCTTTCTGGAACAAATGAATGGTATCTTTCTGGAACAAATGAATGGTGTCTTTCTGGAACAAATGAATGGTGTCTTTCTGAAACAAATGAATGGTGCCTTTCTGAAACTAGCTCACAGATATACAGTAGTTCAATACATATGAGTTACATCAGTCTTATGAGTCATTCCTCAGAATGGCTACTGAGGAACAGAGCTAGAACTTGTCACCCAGCATCGCCCAGCATAAATCTTCTATCAGAACAATCACAAACTCTATTTTCAGGCAGCACACAGCCCCTCTGTTTAAATCCCTCTGTTTAAATTCTGTGTATATTGTGTATGTGTATGTTGGATATTGTCATTATACTGGTGATTTTGATATGAGTTTATTATATTTATAATGAGTTTATTTATCCCTATCCCTTATTATTAATTTGTGACATAGTCAGGTGAACTGGGATTCTTTTGTGGGAACTCACATAGGGTCACGAGCCTTAATCAACAAGTCATAACATGTTATCAACCCGAAATCTTGCCGTATTTCTAATTGTCTGTAAGGTGCCAACTACTATAGTATATTTACCAATGAGAGGTGTCTCAGTTTCTTCCTTAATAGGTTCAGGCCCTGTAACCATAATGCCTGGAAAGCTGTAGCGTTTGTGCATGTTGCCACCGTGTCGCTCCAGAAGTGCACGTGCTAAACCACTGTTGTTGATCACCTGCAAATACACTTTAATATACTTAATCAATTCAAGATGTATGTGTGTGTATGTATGTATATATATTATATATTATATATATATATATATATATATATATATATATATATATATATATATATATATATATATATATATATATATATATATATATATATATATATATATATATATATATATATATATATATATATATATATATATATATTAAATACAAAAGTACTTAAGGAAATTCCTGTTTCAATCCTTCCTTCGTGGTCTGACACCGTCACATTTTTCATCATGTGTTAATTCTCATGATTTACACACACACACACACACACTAAATAGATAAAACACCTGGAGGAAAAGATATAATATTAGACAGACAGTACGGTTTTCGATCTGGAAGATCCTGTGTAATGAATTTACTCAGTTTCTATGATCAAGCCACAGAGATTTTACAGGAAAGAGATGGTTGGGTTGACTGCATCTATCTGGACCTAAAAAAGTCTTTTGACAGAGTTCCATATAAGAGGTTGTTCTGGAAACTGGAACATATTGGAGGGGTGACAGGTATGCTTCTAACATGGATGTAAAATTTCCTAACTGATAGAAAAATGAGGGCCGAAATCAGAGGCAATGTATTAGATTGGAGAAATATCACAAGTGGAGTACCACAGGGTTCAGTTCTTGCACTGGTAATGTTCATTGTCTACATAAACGATCTACCAGTTGGAATACAGAATTATATGAACATGTTTGATGATGCTAAGATAATAGGGAAGATAAGAAACTTAGATGATTGTCATATTCTTCAAGAAGACCTGGACAGAATAAGTATATAGAGCACCACTTGGCAAATGGAATCTAATGTGAATAAATGCCATGTTATGGTATGTGGAATTGGAGAACATAGACCCCACACAATCTATAAATTATGTGAGAAATCTTTAAAGAATTCTGACAAAGAAAGAGATCTAGGGGTGGTTCTTGATAGAAAACTGTCACCTGAGGACCACATTAAGAATATTGTGAGAGGAGCCTATGCTACACTTTCTAAATTCAGAACTGCTTTTAAATACAAAGGTGGAGAAATACTAAAGAAATTGTTCACGACTTTTGTTGGACCAAAGCTGGAATATGCAGTGGTTGCATGGTGCCCATATCTTAAGAAGCATATCAACAAACTGGAAAAGGTGCAAAGACATGCCGGCTCCCAGAACTGAAGGACAAGAGCTATGAGGAGAGGTTAGAAGCATTAAATATAAAAAACTAGAAGATAGAAGAAAAAGAGGCGATATGATCACTAAATACAAAATAGTAACAGGAATCGATAAAATTGATAGGGAAGAATTCCAGAGACCCAGAACTTCAAGAACAAGAGTTCATAGATTTAAACTAACGAAACAAAGCTGCCGAAGAAATATAAGAAAATTCACTTTCGCAAACATGTGGTAGACGGTTGGAACAAGTGCCTATCAAGTTAAGAAACTCAAAGTAAGGCCAAGTGAAGTTCGGGCTTTGCTGCTGCTTGATAATGCGCCTGGCCACCCCAAAATTGAAACGTTAACCTCACAAGATGGCAAGATAACGTGTATGGCACTTCCTCCTAACACAACCTCTCTCATCCAGCCTATGGATCAGGGAGTTATCTGTGCCCCGAAAAGGTTGTGCACCAAAAAGATGCTGAACGAAGTTTTGGTGGTTTTGCCTCTTCCGGAAGATATTGAACTCAGTGTGGATAACAGGGCTAAAAAAAACCTTGAGAATTGAAGAACTATACAATCAAGGAAGCCATCTATAACTGGGCCAAGGTGTGGAGTGAAGTAAAGGAATCTACTTTGAAAAATTCCTGGAAAAAACTCCTCACGTCTACGGTCAGAAATGAGGAGGATGAAGAAATGGATTTTGAAGGATTTACAGATGAAATCCATGGAATGTTCAGAAATGCTGGTGAAAACTTAGAAAGACAGGATGTGGTTGATTGGCTTGAAAAAGACGTCAATGACCCAGGATATGGTGTGATGAGTGAAGACGAGATTCACCAGTCTGTTACTGGTGAGGTCGACGAAGATGAGGAGGATGAAGAAGGCAGTTAAGAACCAACACAATGACCACAAAATACAGTGTACTCATGACCTATGTTGACGGATTAATAAATTTTTCATCCAATTGTTCTCATCCAGAAGTTGGAAACATGTATCAGTACCTGAGGCAAACCAAAGAGCTGATCATACAACTGGCCAGTGAACACAGAAGGCAAGCTACACTTCATTCTGATATGGTACGAAAATCAAGCCACACGCCTTCAACAAGTGATGCGTCACAGACAACCCAAGCGCCTTCAACAAGTGACATGTCACAGGCAAGCCCAGCGCCTTCAACAAGTGACATGTCACAGGCAAGCCCAGCGCCTTCAACAAGTGACATGTCACAAGCAAGCCTCAACAAGTTACATGTCACAAGCAAGCCTCAACAAGTGACATGTCACAAGCAAGCCCAGCGCCTTCAACAAGTGAGGCGTCACAGGCAAGCCAAATGCCTTCAACCAGTGAGGCTTCAGCAGCTGGCAGTCAAAACTAATTTTGCTTAATGAACTGTACAGTAATGTTAAGTGTTAATTTTAGTGCTGTGTTAGTATAGGTTACGTAAATTGTCAAGAATTTAACTTCAAGATATGTGGCATCAATCAAGAAGACAAACAAGGTAAATTGAGGTTTCTAGTTGAATATTTAATAATTATATGTGGCAAGGCAATTCAAATATGTTGTTTGTAGTATAAAAATAGTTGGAAATGGTTAGTTTTGGACTTGTAGGTGAAAAAGTACCATTATCCGGAACACGTGATTATCTGGCTGGGGATCCTTCCCATATAGTCCGGATAATCGAGTGGAGACAGTATATACAGTGGCGCCTCGATTAATGAATTTAATCCGTTCCAGAACCGAGCTCATCATGTGAAACGCTCGTCTTGCATAACAACAACAACACTGTAATCAAGTGGTGATGAAGGAAGAGTTGGGGTGAGGGAAGAGTGGTGGTGAGGGAAGAGTGGTGGTGAGGGAAGAGTGTTGGTGAGGGAAGAGTGTTGGTGAGGGAAGAGTGGTGGTGAGGGAGGGAGGGTGGTGTTTAATATGGTTCACTTGCTGTGTGGTCCACTTGTCCACTTGTGTGATCCAACTTGTCATATGAAGGAATTATTAATTGTAACCTGTGATAGAATGGGCACTAACACAGGAACTAACTTGGACTGCAATTTCACAATGAACTTTACTTCATTTTAGTTATATAAAATATACCTTACCTGAATATTACTTGAAATATTACCGACACTTCAACAATTTTGGAAATACCGGAGCCCCAGAAATAACGACCTAGTTACAGCCCCATATAAGCCGTTAAATCGAGTGGATACTGTAGTGGGCATAGCATGTCGAGCAGTGTCTTCCATGTTGGCATCTTCATGTTCTGGTCTTTTTCTTACTCTCATGGTGGGTAGAGTGAATACCTCCATAATTTGGGTATTTATGGTAGGTTGTTCTATTTTTATGTGGATTGCTTCAAGAATTTGTAATCTTTTTACATCTTGGGTTATGTTTATTATACAAGTGTTTTTATTTAACATTTCTCTTGTTAGGGTGATGTCATGGGCTTATCTCATGTGATTTTTGGGAGCATCTGATTGAAGATGACAGGTTAAACACCTCATCAGCTTGGTCAACATCATACCTATGTACTTAGATTGAAGGCTACATCCTTTGTGGGGGCAGGTGTACATGTATACCACGTTTGACTGCTGTAAAGGGTTCTTCGTCGGCTTCGGGCTCTTTTTAATAAGGAGGTCGGTAGACGTCTTTGTTTTATAGAATATGATTAGGTCTATGTTTTGGTTAGGAGTTATGCTTATTACTCCTTTACAGATTATTTCTTTCATTATTAGTTCTTCTTTTTTATGTTCATTGTGCATGGTTTATTTATAATATAATTTTATTGGAGTTGATTGGAGGAGTGTTAGTAACGAAGTACCATGGGGTTCAGTTCTTGCACCAGTAATGTTCATCATTTACATAAACAATCTACCAGAAGGCATACAGAATTATATGAACATATTTGCAGATGATGGTAAGATACTGGGGAAGACATGAGACGCAGACGATTGTAATGCCCTTCAAATTTATCTAGATAAAATAAGTGCTTGGACCGTCAAGTGGCAAATAGAATTCAATGTGAATAACTGCCATGTTATGGAATGTGGAATCGGAGAAAATAGACCACACACAACTTACAAATTATATGGAAAGTAATTAAAGAACAAGACCTAGGAGTGGTTTTGGATAGTAAGTTGTTGCAAGAGAAACACATAAAGAACATTGTGAGAGGAGCGTTTGCACTTAGGTAATTACTAACCTGGGTAAGCCAAAAAAAGTAGCCTGCTCTGAGCACTCAAATTTTTTTTCAAAATAAACATGCCAACCACTCAGGACACTCGATGAAGAGCACCCTAGTGAGCCAGTGAGGTTTGTTATCTGTTTGGAGCGTGACAGTAAGCACCAAACAGTGTACTGTCAGTCTGGAACCATGATTCACCTATGGGTTTTTTTAACCACAACAAATTTAATATAAGTTACTGAAGCTGGAATGCCTCAGGAGGAGGTAACCTTGAGGGACAGATGCCGGTAGTAGTAGAGTTCGTTTTTTGATGCACGATTTGAGAATTCCGGGTTTAAATCCCAGGCGGGACAGAAATAGTTGGGCACATTTCCTTTCACCTAATGTTTTTATTCACCTAGCAGTGAGTAGGTACTCAGGAGTTAGTCAGCTCATGGGGTTTCATCCTGGATGGGGTCAGTAATGCGGCCTGGGAGGGGGGGGGGGGGGAAGAGACCTCGATAAAAGTCAAACGTGTATGAATACACTCTGGCTTCATGTTCACTGACACAATGAATTATCATTATGAATTATATACCCAAACTACCAGGGAAGAAAAACCTTGACTGGGCAGGGACAATGCCAATGAGAATTAGAGAAAAAGCTCTAGCAACAAGCAGTCGAGGCAAACAAGACTCGAATCTTACATAAAAAGCTAAGCTGGGAAAAAACATGTACATGAAGCAATATAAAATTAAAACAGACACAACCACAGGCCCCTGCAGGACAGAGTTAAAACTAGAGCCAACACTTATTTGAAATTAAAGCCAGAAAGAACCTGGGGGCACAGGAGTTCCGACATACAGTATGTCACAACAGGCACATGGCTGGGGTGGCTGACAGCTTGGAGTCTTGGGTTGCCATTTGGTGGTGGAGGAGTGTAACTGACTAACAGTGGGAACTGGCTAATGAGTGTGAGCATAGTTAACAGGGTTGCAAATGTTTCTCCGTGAAGTTACTTGTTTTGCGGCATTTTACCTTTCTGGTGGTTTTTCTTTTAGATTGGGTTGATCTAGTATCCCCAGATTCCCTTTGCTTCTAATAAGTAAACCAGATTCTCAAAAAGATGACTCAAAAAGGCCTATTGGAGTATGTTAGGGTTGGAACTAACTAGGTGGCTGGCTCAGAAAGCTACTGAAGGGGAACCCTCCAAGAAAAAGGGTTAGATATGTTAAATTTAGAAAAGTATCACTTCTGTGATGGCAATATCTACAAAGAAAATAATTTACTAGCACACTGAAATTTGCTACAGGATGACTAACAAAAGCAATGTCTGGATACACCAGTGGTTGTAGTGTATAGTATATATTCTATTAGAGATCATTTTTAGTTTAATGCAAAAGAGAATTTAGGTGAAGCATAACAGATATATAGCACTGTATTAACGTTATCATATTTTTGTATAACTTGCTTGTTCTTCTATGACAAAAATAATATAGCTCTAATATAGTGAGCAATTTATTTACAGTACAATAAATAATGATACAGAATATTGACAGCAATAAAACTTTTGTATCATTAAAATATTGTCTGTAGTTTAGGTAAACAGATAGTCTTACCTTCACATCAGGACCATTCATGGGGTCATCTATATGTGTTTTTGAAGGTGATTTGGAGTTCATGGAGGACATTGAGAGAGCAGAAGCACACTGTCGCATTTGCTCATCACGAGCTCTCTTGATCCTATAGTGCATATCATTACAAACATTAACCTCAATGTGTTCACAACTGGATATTTTTATTTATATATAGCATTTACTTTGAAAACATCTTCAAGGAACTCAAGACTTAACCATTGAGAATAATCAGACCATTGCTAGATCCTGCCAGTAATTAATCAAGCCAGTGCAATTTAAAATGTTCATAATTTAAATTAATAACAACAACAAGTGTTATAATACCACTAGAACGACAGATTGCAAACCTACTTAAACCCATTAATTATTTACTTTGATGAATGGTAGAAAATTTTCGAAGCAAACAGGCACGCTACCCACAGCAAACCAGAAAATCCACTGCGCATTACCCCATGAGCGAGCACCCATCCACACACAAGAAATCAAAATCTTTTCAAGATCAAAAAGTTGATCTTGCAATACAGAAGAATGTCAACAACTAAGATGGCCACCACCACAAGGGAGGGCAGCACACCAACAAATTAATGTTTTGAAGGATTCTCAGCACAAGATCTAATGAAAGGGGGTTGTCTTGGCAGGTTAGTGACTATTGAGGTCATACTAAAGAATTATGAAGAAAAGGTAATTAAATTAGAGCAAGAAAATGAGGGGTCTCAAGATTGAGTTTTGTAATTTAAAAGGAAGTATTTTCAGGCAAGGTAAGGAAATTACCAGCTTGACTGATAAGGTAAGGATACAGGAGGCACACATCAACGAACTAGTGAAAGATATTGAGGCATAGAAAGTGAAGAGTGGTGAATTTGAAGAAATAAACAAGAAAATAGACTCATATGGTGATCAACTCCAAGGTACCCTGAGGACTAACATGGAGTTAGGCAAGGATATGCAAGGAGAAACTTCATTGACAACTCATATAGAGGAGGTTAATAAAGCACCAGAAAAGTATAAAGAAGAAATAAAAGAGACGTATGCGCAGGTAGCAAAAGAGAAAGAGACGATGAAAGAAGTGTTTTTGGAAGTCAAAACCAGAAATGACCAAGAAGTAGAAATTAGGCAGACAATTAGGAAAGAACTGGTAACCAACAGTAAACTAGTACAAAACACTGCAGATAGAAGTAAGTCCATAATAACCTTCGGGTGTTTAAAAAAGGAAATTTCATCTCGGGTAGACAGAACAGCAGAAGAGATGAAAATCATTGAGAAAATAGGTTTAGAAGGCCGAAATTCAAAGGAAAATGTCAGCGATTTTAGGAGAATAGGAAAAATATGAAAACCGTCCCTTAACCCTTAAACTGCGCAACACATCAATAGCCATGGTGAGTAACTGTCACGGAATTGAGCACCACAGCTATTGATGAGTTGGAGTACGATGCAAGATTTAAAAGTCCTGCAGCTACACAGGATTCACATCAGCTTCCTCAGGGGCTCTTGTAAACATACGCCATTTAAAAAAAAAATCGTGGGCAACATTTCCTGGTGTGAGAGAGCCTCAGTACTGACTGAGCAACCAAGGCTGGCACATGCAGCATGAGCTAACAGCATTGCTGTTCAGCTTGTGACCACAGCATCGCCTAAAAATGTCAAAAATATATGTAACTGGTATTATTTAGCAATGATAGTATTACAGAAGACCCCTGTGATAAAAATGACAATGATTCTGATAATAGAAGGACTGTTATGATAATTAGCACTGCTGTATGGTGGGAGGAGTAATACTGAGGGAGGGAGGAAGGTGGCATTGTATTCTGACTCTATGTGGCCACCTTTTATTGTCTGGACTCACCATACTAGTTTAGTGGTTCACTATGGTGAACACAAATGTAGATACATATATATACTTATATACATATGTATCTTATATATAAGATACTTATATATGGTGGTGGGGGTGAGGGAAGAGTGGCAGTGAGGGAGGGAGGGCGGTGTTTAATATGGTTCACTTGTTGTGTGGTCCACTTGTCCACTTGTGTGATCCAACTTGTCATATGAAGGAGTTACTAATTGTAACCTGTGATAGAATGGGCACTAACACAGGAACGCAATTACACAATGAGCTTTATTTCATTTTAGTTACATAAATATACCTTACCTGAATGTTACTCGAAATATTACCGACACTTCAACAACTTCAGAAATACTGGAGCCTCAGAAATAACGACCTGGGTACAGCCCAATATAGGCCATTAAATCAAGTGGATACTGTAATGGTTTCATGTTGTCAGGGATAGGAATCCTGTAATCACGCTTATCGAGGTACCTCTGGTTCAACTACCGACCATTCCCAGATGTAACCAACGAAAGCTAATGCTCAGATACCTAATTACTGCTAAGTGAATAGAAGCATAGAGGGAAAGGAAACACACCCAACCGCCTCTGTCCCTCCACAGAAATCTATCCCAGGGCCCTTGGTTGTGAGCCAATGAAATATACCACTGCACTACAGGACTACTGTATATAGAACTATACTGTACTTGGTATTAATGGAAAATCAACAAAATACAAATAGCATTGTCTTTGCAACCAAAATTGCATATGAAATGTTAAGAAAAATGAAGAATGGTCATCATTTTACATAAAAATAATGATAAATAAAAACAATTTTATATAAGTCTAACTTTTACTGCAATATGTGACAATGAGAGAATATATGGCAGACTAACCTCATCAGCAGTGGAGTGCTTGGTGGTTCTAAGTCTTCATCCCAGGGTCCTGAAGTAGGCTGCAGAGGTCTGAATGCCAGCCCAAAGACTGCACAAGTCAGTGTTATTCCTATTGAGAATAAAGAAAAAAGACCGTTATCTGAAAGGGAATATACAAGTTCTGAATTTTAAAATAACTGCACAGAAAATATGCAGTTCTAGCTTTCATCAAGTAAATGAAACTAACATATATGATACACAAACTGAAATATAAAAATGCAGAATAATTCTTCAAGTCTATTGCTCATAGGCCATTGTTCCTCATGCCTCTCTGAGGGGGGCCAGGTTCTGACTTGTGGTCCCTGGTAGGTTACCTTAAGGTGTTTTCGGGGCTTAGCGTCCCTACGGCCCAGTCATCGATCAGGCCTCCTCGTTGCTGGAGTGGTCAACCAGGCTGTTGGACGCGGCTGCTCGCAGCCTAACATATGAATCACAGCCTGGTTGATCAGGTATACTTTGGAGGTGCTTATCGAGTTCTCTCTTGAACACTGTGAGGGGTCGGCCAGTTATGCCCCTTATGTATAGTGGAAGCGTGTTGAACAGTCTCTGGCCTCTGATGTTGAAAGAGTTCTCTCTATCGGTAATTTCTTTTGAACCCATTTTATGTGCAATAACATCATGGTCACATTTGTCAAAGGCTTTTACGAAATCTGTGTAAATTACACAGCCCATCTTCCAAATATGGAGAAGTCAATGTAACAGCACAAGTAAGTGTAATTATGTACTATTCCTAGCAGTCAGGAATTGTACTTATTTTCACTTAGTATTAAACCGTACTGTCAAATATATTGTGAATATTTGAGTTTACCTGAAAAGCTGAATAGAAAACCACAACCTAACCTAACCTTCTTAGTGTTTGAAGATAAGCATTTTATTGCTTCTTAATTACAATTAGTACTTAACCTATAGCTTTATTGATATTACAGTTTTATAAAACTAATAAAACAAAACTAAAATATTTCAATAAATTGTAAAGTAATTTAGGATATTTTCAAATTTTGTATAAAATCTCTATTGTTGTCCACTGTCCACTCAGCCGGTGGCTGAGTGGACAGAACACTGGACGTGTGATCCTGTGGTTCCAGGTTCGATCCCGGGCGCCGGCAAGAAACGATAGGCAGAGTTTCTTTCACGCTAATGCCCCTGTTACCTAACAGTTTATAGGTACCTGGGAGTTAGTCAGCTGTCATGGGCTGGTTCCTGGGGGTGGAGGTCTGGTCGAGGACCGGGCCGCGGGGACACTAAAGCCCCGAAATCATCTCAAGATAACCTCATTTAGAATTTTTATTTTGATTATCAGTACTTCTACCATATCGTTTGTGGTATTTAGCAGTTTGGTGCAGATGAGTGTGTCTTTGATGTAAAGGCTGAACCCACCCTGCAGCCTGTGTTTCCTGTAATATCTAAAAAGATTGTACTCCAGTATCCATATCTCACTGTCATAATAGTAATTAGTGTGAGTTTCAGTTAAAGCTGCAAACACTGCATTTGCTTCATTTAAGAGGCCAGTTATAGTGTAGACTTTGTTTGGATTGCATATGGTACCTTGTATGTTGGCAAATAGGAAAGATGTTGTCATATTTGTGGAAGTGCTGGGTATTTTTCTTGGTGTTAATATCTGTGGTTCTGGTAAGTGCACTTCATTATTTGTGTCCTGTTTAGCATCTGACCGAATTGACAGTACACTTTAGGCATTTCTTACTATTCTTTTTCCCCTTCTCTTAAAATAAAAAATCCCCCTGGTATGTATAGGCATTGTGTATTCATAATGGCATTCATGACTTTATTTACTTTGTTCCTTTGACATGAAAAGCTGGGCAATGTTTGTTAAAACACTCCTCCTTGTTTAGCTTTGTTAACTCTTTAACTTCTCCTTTAGTTTAGCTTTAACTAACTCTTTCATTTAGCTTAAGCTAACTCCTCCTTTAGTTTAGCTTTACTTCCCTCTGTTAGCAAAGAGAGGAGTAAACTCTCCTCATTAACGTTGCACCATCTGCACACAACAACATGTACGAGCTCACTCCCTCTGCAAGGCCATTTAAATAAATAAAAAAGAGCAATGATCTTAGGATAGAATCCTGTGGAATATCACTTTTTACTTTTCTCCAGCCTGATTATAAGAAAAAGGAAGCATGGGATAGAGATAGAAAAATACTTAAGCAGTTTACCAGTACAGACAATATATTTTGAACTTACTGCTTTATATAAGAACACTGAATATTAGATATTAAAATTATATATGGGCACTATGATCATCATTTGACAATCATTCACTCATTAACAAAAAAATTTATGGCAACTACGGACCAGCATACACAACAAGTGTCCACCGCCAGTCAATTGCTACAATGAGGTAGTTGTTCAGGGGTGCAAAAATGAAGGTGCCAATGCCAGAGCCACAAACAGCAATGCCAGTTGCCAGGGCCCGGCGCTTCTCAAAATAGAAACCTGTGGCAATCACAGCTGGAACATATATCAGCCCAAAGCCAATACCTGAAATGATAGGAAAAATAATAATTAACAAAAAATTCATCAAACTGTCTTGGTAGATTCCTCTTCACTCACCTTGTCAATACAGTACTGTACTACTAAACCCCTTCACCAGTACATATACATAGTATTAAACAGTTCAACAATGTGCCTGTCAACACTACCTGAACCCTTTCACCTACACCATATACATAACAATATACAGTATCCACTTGATACAACAAAGTATATGGGGCTGTACCCAGATCATTAAATGTGGGGCTCGGCCAAAGTTATTGTTGAAGTTGTTGAAATTTTTAGTAATATTCAGACCACTAAAAAAAATTTCTTTACGAAAATTATATAAAACACAATAGCTTTATAAATAATACAAAACTACAGTTAATTATAGAACTTTAATGTCCTTGAACAGTAACATCTTAGTGAACAGTACGTGTATTTAAAAAACCAGCGTTGAATGTAATGAAATGCCATTTTCTGGATAAGCCCCGGAGGCTCCCCAGAGCTTATCGGGCTTATCGGGCCAGATATAACATATATCTGTATGTTATATTAGACCGGGACATTAGCTATGGAGTTCAGACCTACTAGGGACCAGCACCAGAACCGGGCCCCTTCAGAGAGGTTTCAGGGAGCAATGGCCCTGGAAAACCCCATTGTGGTTGGAGGTTTTCCTTATCTGCCATCGACCAGGGTCAGGCACCCAGAAAGGTAGGCATAACAAAACAAACCCCACATTTTAATAAACTAAAACAAAAAACTGAACAGAGAGGTAGAAACCCCCTACAATCCCAATGAAACAAGCAAACAAGCAATTATCACAATTTACTGCCGCGCCAGTCATCCGCACAGCCCTCCCCTCTTCAAGAGGGGGAGGGGGGGCCCCGGACCTCACCGCGCCAGCTACCTTTAGTTTGGAAACTAGGCTTCAACCAACGCGAAAAAATCCGCCAACCAGATGGGAGTTAGGGTAGCCAGGGAGCCTCCGGGACTCACCCAGAAAATGGCGTTTCATTACATTCAACGCTGGTTTTCTGTGGGGAGCCCCTACGGCTCCCCAGAGCTACATACCCAAAGAGAAGGAAAATAGGGACTTACCCGGGAGGTGGCGGCCACAAACTCCTCAACGCGAAGTCGAGACAACTGGCTGCAACCTGCGACCCAAAGCAACACAAGAACGCCTAGGAGCAGGCACGTTCACCAAATAACGGGCGGCCAGGACCCTGTTCGACTTCCAAAACCAACGTGCCCGAATATGAGCCCAAGACATGTTACCAAACATGGCAGCCAAAGTTGCAAACTTCTGAACATCATGGGCGCGAGGATAGACCGCAGGCTGGCTAGACTTAATAACCCTGCAGACAACCTGGGAGACCCAAGCCCTGGAACAGGGAACGAGGGAAACCAGATCAACCCAAAGCGCATCCCCAGCCACCCCAGCTGAGGCGCGCAGGTAACGGCGAAGAGCCACAATCGGACACAACACATGATGCACCCCGGCTGAACCAACCAAGCATCAATGACCCACGGACCCCTCTGGAAAGCAGCCGTCTCGTTCTTCGCCAGAAAAGATGGAGAAGGCTGCAAATGGAAAAACCTACCCCCAGGACCAAAAGAGCAGAAATCCTTGCACCGGAGGAGAGCATGAAGCTCCCCCTACCCGACCCCCATAGGCCAATGCCAACAAAAACAAAGCCTTGGAAAAACAATCTGGAACCGAAGGGGCCACCACAAACCGAGGAAAGATAGGAGAGCACCCTGTCCAAGGACCAGGACAGCCAGGCGGCACATGAGCAGGCCGGAGGTGAAACATAGCACGAGAAAGCTTACGGAATGGGGCAGATGTGACGTCCACCCCGAATGCTAGCTTGAGTGGCTCTGCCAGTGCCACTCGATACGAGGCGACAGTATTAGGCATCAATTGACGGTCCTGAAAAAGCCAAGAAAGAAAGGACAAGACAACCCGATCCGAAAGAGAAGACAACCTACGAAGAGCAAGAAAATGGCGAAAAGAACGCCGGGAAACTTCATGCTGTCGCCGAGACGAAGTTCTCAGGTGGGACACCATCAACGAACCCACCTGATCACCATAGAAATGATACACCCACGTCAAAAAGACCAGAAGCGAAGAGCAGAGGAGAAAGTCGAACCAGCCCCGAACCCGAAAATGGCATTTCATTACATTTAACGCTGTTTTTTTGTGCATGGGCAGACAGCTGCACATTAGGAGTTAACATATTGTGAGTTGAAAATAAGTAAATATCTTACCACCTATAACCCCAAAGGTAAATTGAAGGAAGTAAATGCTTGTAGCAAATGAAGAGATTCCAAAGGCCACTGAAGATATCACTGCTCCAAGAATACACACGGTGCGGAATCCATATGCGTTTGCCAAGGCTGACACAAATGGTCCTGAAAAGTAATAAAAGTTCAGTGTGAATTAGTAGATCACACCAAATGCTATTCCTCTTGGATTATAAATGTTACTTGCCAGTTTTATGAGATTTTATATATAAATTATTTGCAGCATAAAGTTATTACCTATAATCCAAAGGAGGGGATATAAACTACATAAATTAATTTAAAAATGTATGCCTAAGAGGATAAATATATGGAAGATTAATGAGTTTGTAACAACATGATGCTTAAATATATGGTGCATATTGTATTAGTAGTACACTGTATAATACATAAAACATTAATTGTCCAATAATTAAAATTTTAAATTATTGGATGAACAGTACTTCATGTAAAATGCAACCTCAATAAAATTAATAAAAATAGAGTAATTCATATCACATCTGGTTTGAATTCTTCACTGATTATGCAGACTTTTAGTGTAACATAACAGAAATTAAGGAGTATCAGGTGGAAATCTGATGTGCTAGGCCTCAGTTGAGGTGCCTGGCCATGTATCCAGCCGCCACTCTGCAATCCCAGCTTAGTTTAGTGGAGAGGGCCTTCACCTTGTTGCTTCGCTGCCCACAGCGGCTGGGTGGTCATCTCGCCCTCCGCCACTGGTTGCCAGAGCCGTGGAGGCAACTTTGTCAACAAAGTCGGTGTACAACTGTTGCCGGAAGACTATTGAGGAAAATTCAAGATGTGTGGTCACATAGCTCTGTTAATGCTATGTACCCTGCCTGCTGTTATTCCACCATAATGTCACCTACTTCTGCTGTACGCTTGTCCCGTTAGGAGTGATGTGAAGACTCCTAGTTATTGATTGTCACCTTATCAACCCCACAGGTTGTCAGAGAGTCAGAGAGAATCAGAGAAAGAAAAAGACTTGGGGGTTGACATCACGCCAGACCTGTCCCCTGCAGCCCATATCAAGAGAAAAACATCAGCGGCATATGCCAGGCTGGCCAACATAAGAACGGCATTCAGAAACTTGTGTAAGGAATCATTCAGAACTTTGTATACCACATATGTCAGGCCAATCCTGGAGTATGCAGCCCCAGCATGGAGTCCATATCTAGTCAAGAATAAGACCAAACTGGAAAAGGTTCAAAGGTTTGCCACCAGACTAGTAACCGAGCTGAGAGGTATGAGCTACGAGGAGAGGCTACGGGAATTAAACCTCACTTCGCTGGAAGACAGAAGAGTTAGGGGGGACATGATCACCACATTCAAGATTCTCAAGGGAATTGATAGGGTAGATAAAGACAGGCTATTTAACACAAGGGGCACACGCACTAGGGGACACAGGTGGAAACTGAGTGCCCAAATGAGTCACAGAGATATTAGAAAGAACTTTTTTAGTGTCAGAGTGGTTGACAAATGGAATGCATTAGGAAATGATGTGGTGGAGGCTGACTCCATACACAGTTTCAAGTATAGATATGATAGAGCCCAATAGGCTCAGGAACCTGTACACCTATTGATTGACGGTTGAGAGGCGGGACCAAAGAGCCAGAGCTCAACCCACGCAAGCACAATTAGGTGAGTACAGGTGTGACCCACCATCTTGCACGGAATGTTGCCTTCGCCAGCTGCATTTGTGAACTGACAGTGTGTCTATATATATATAACCGCAAGACTCTAGGACTTTAGAAAATTGTGCAGCAACAGTAAAAGTCTTACATCCCAATTCCAAATCAATTTCTGTGTAGGTGTTAGTTGTAAGTTAATGTGAGAATGAGTTGTAGATGCCGGGTGGAAATGTATAAACTGAACGCTTCCATTCTAATTCCCAGTCTTTTCTCATATTTGTGTTAGTTTTAAGGACACTTGTAATAAGTGTTGCAAGATGGCATGTATGTTTCACATCTTGGATGGCTGTTCCACATTATGAATCTAGCCATCAAAGGGTCATTAGAATTCATTTTGACTTGGCTTGCCTAGAGGAAAATAGAGCCCAGTATAACATTCAATGATGCAAGTTTTTTTTTTTGAGGAGGAGAAAAAGTTGCAGGATGGAAGTGCACCTCATAGACAATTGACTTTATTGCTTCAGTTTCTTGATGTTGTCTGGTGGTGGGAAAATGTACAAGTTTTGTTATAGTGAATGTGAGAAGTTGAGTTACTAAGTAGAAGATGTTTCCAGCATAAATATTGAAATTTGAAGTTTTGGTATACATCTAGTGTTAGGCAGAGCATTTCACTTGTTTATCTCTCAGTGGTAAAGGTTCACATTTTACATTTGGCGGCAAGTCGACCCTTGGTTTTGGAGATATTTTTAGGCTTCAAATGTTGACTTAAATGCCAGCATATATGATAAACTCTCTGCCAGTATACTTGTATCCGGACAAATCTCCAGTCATCCGGATTCTATGGATATTCATCCAGATATGGATATAAAACTATCCAGATGCAATTTTATCTGGATGACCCGGTTATCCAGATTAGCGAGCTCATACAGTACTTATAGTAACGATGAGGACCGTAGTATATATACCAACGTACAATGAAATTAGAAAGTAGAAATCTGAACTATTGAGTTGGACAAACCAGAAAATTAATTTTAACTTGTGTTGCTTTGACAAACTAGCCTAACCTAACCTTCCTAGACCTAATACTGTACACAATATCTGAGGCCTAATATAGTACATGTATGCACTATATTAGGCCTAGGAATATTTAAGTTTGTTTTTTAGCTTCATTTATTTTAAAAGAAATCCTTAACAGTCAGTATACTACTATCTAAAAGTTAAGTACGTATGAATTCGTGACTAATGACAACCATCACAATAGGTAGTATCTAAACAGGACGATGGTTTGGGATATGTCAAGCTGGAGAGGAGAGGAAGGTGGTGTTCCACAGGGCTTTGTCCTAGAACCATTGCTATGTATAACCCTTAAACTGTGCAAAACCTCATATGATGTGTCACATTGAACTCAGTTTTTAAAATCTTCTGAAAATCTTTCAAATGTTTTGTGAATAATTTACTAGGCAAATGCTCCAACTTTGTCTAAATGATACCAGTGTAACTTGAAAAACAAGAAAATAAAAAACAATTATAAAATTGAATATAGAAAACTTCAGATTTTGAAATCAGCTGCAAAAATATAAAAATATCACCAACTGTTCATTTGGTGTTATTATGCTCTCAGAATAGTATATGATCTTCATTTACATATACAGTATTTAGAATATAGGTTTTCAGTATAGTTTACTGTAAAAAAATTTGTCAATATGGCATTTAAAATATGCGCAAATTTAGACAACAAAAATGTATAACTCCCAAACGTTTAGAGTTTATGAAAAATCGAAAAATCGAAAAATCTATAGGGATTGTAAAACAGACGGCTGTGCACACTATATGTAAAAATGGTGAGAATCAGTTAGAAACTAGATTTTTGGATACTGAAGTAAGCTGAAATTTTAGTTATAGATATAATTGAAGTTATCGACAATGAACAAGGCAGTTTTAATTCATGAATTTACTTGTATGTTGTAATAAACATTGTTTGGCATTCGTACTCAAGTATGTGAAAGTTGTAGGTCAATGTGTGTTGAAATGAAGTCAAGAAAAAATAACCCCCCAAAAAAACAAAATATAGGGATAATTATAATAATTATAATGATTTAGGGAATATATTTAGGGTATACTTTATATAAGTAAAAAAATCCTAATCTGGTCCCTAATCATCAAAACAACCTAAAGAAACAAGGAAAATAGTTTGAAATCTGTGAAAAAATCAGGCAAAAAAAAATTCAAAGTCCCAAGTTCTGAGAGTTGTAACTGATTTATTTGTTGACCAATTTAATTCTGGCTTCACATAGTTAAGCACGAGTATGCATTCTCCAGGATGCAAAGGTTAAAACAAATTCAAATAATAAACAAAGGAGGAAAAAACCCAGTCCTAAAAAAAAAAAAAAAAAAAAAATCCCCTAAAAAAAAATATTTTTTTGACATTGTTGAAAGTAACTGATGATAACATTGGGCAAAGTATTTATATGATATACAATGGGGCCTCGATTTACGATGGTAATCCATTCCCAGAGACGTATCATAAGTCGAAATATCATAAGTTGAAGCAATTTTTCCCATAAAAAATAAAGGGTCCGTTCCACACCCCCAAAAGTATTAACTTAAAAATGCATTTTATACTGAATATAATTTTTTTCTCTAACTACAATACAGTACATATGTTTATCTTACCTTTATGGAGGGCTCTTGATGGCATATGGAAGAGGGTGAGGAGGGAGGAGGAGGAGAGTTGTTACTGTTTGGAAGGGAAGTCCTCTTCCATTATAACATCAGGCAGTGATGATTTCTCTGGGGTTTCTCTCTCCTACGTTTTGCCTGCATACCACTAGGACCTGGTTATGGTTCACCGCCAGTTTGTCTCACTAAAAATTTGTCTAGTGACACTTGTTTTTCCCTTCATTTTAACATTTGTCTGTAGTGATGCATCAGTGTCATTGAAAAGGTTAAGGCAACGGCCTATTACAGCTTGCTCTGAGTGAGTCGTTTCAACAAAAGTTTGCATTTCTTCCCACAGTCTACACCACTTCCTAATTGTTGAGGAAGGGACATTCTGTACTGCCTCCTCCTTCCCTGAAGAAATTTGCTCAGCTGTCTCTATGGTCATCCTCACATGTGTTTTCATATGTTGAACATTACCACTGACTTTCTTGGGACCTATGGCATGATATATAATAATCAGTTTTATGTTCAAAAAGCAAAAAATCAACAAAAAAAATGGAATTTCTTATAAGCATGATCGTCACTAAGCGGACGGCTCTAGTAAACTGAGGCAGATTGGCCCGCATGACCGGGAACCATGCGCTCGGTTGACCCGAACGTGTATCAACGAATATCGTTAGTCAACGACACTATCGTAAGTCGAATCGCATTTTCCAATCAAATTTATATCGTAACTCGAAATTACTGTAAGTCGGGGCAATCGTAAGTCGAGGTGCCACTGTATAACAAAATAGAGCATAATAACATAGTTACTCATTATTATTTGTGTTATTATAAAAAAAAATATATAAAAAAAAATGTATTACTCACCAATGCTATAAAGGCACCAGCTGTATATCCACTTTGTGAACACTTCTTACTACTATTCTTCTTCTTCTTTGTGCGTCAGACAGGTGCTTGCATCTCTCTATTACTGTATTGTATTATCCATTAGTTTCAGTTAATAGGAGCTGTTCTCTTTATCAACAAAACATTAATTTTTTTTTTTAAATATTCGTCTAAAATCAATTTCTGAAAATATTTTGATGAAAGTTTCACGAAGCTGAAGCCAATAAGTTGGAAATTTGTTTAACATTTTAAAGTAATTTTTACATAATTCAAATATTTTTTAATTATACCCCCTTCAATGCTACACATCATATGACGTTTTGTGCAGTTTAAGGGTTAATTTATGTAAATAACCTAGCAGAGGGAGTGAGCATATATATGTTAAAGTTTGCAGTGTAAGGGCTGCAACATGTGTAAGGGCACACCTGATAAGCCGCACCCTAGAGTACGAACTCATGAAATCCGTCCTTACTTTCATATTTACAGTTTAGGTACATTACTTTAAACCAGGGATGTACAGCCAATGTGCATTTATAAACACTTCAAACACAAGAATGACCACGTGGGACCGGCACAATATTTTTGCATTGGCGGAACTCAAGAAACAATCAAAGTGCATTACTTTTATTTAAACACAGGAAAAGGAATAACACACTAACAAGGAAAAATCTCTCACTCACCAGATTAATGATTACAGTTATAGTCACTCTGATATAAATGGAGGTCAATGACCTCACACAGTGAGGTGAGTACCTCACGAGCACACACCACACAAACTGTGTGTGTAAAGTCTCAGCTCTCTCTCTTGTGGAGCAAAGGGACGCTCCTCTCACGAAAACACGCAGGAAAACTTTACACACAGAATCATACATATTTACTAATACATATTATCAAACACAAATGAAATATAAAAATTAACACAAATAAAACAAACTGGTATTTTAACTAATAGACACATTTACATTAACCAATGCACTGCGCCACCTGACAAAACACGGGATAAGGCGGTGCACCACCTGACTCTTAAGCAATGTTAGGATATCATAGGATTCAAAACGCGCGCGTGGTAGGTTGGGTACGAGATGGACGCCCGAGATCTCCAGTGAGATGCAGCTATCTCGAAAAAAATTCCCAGCATGCCCCAGGGCTATGGGTTTGCTCAGTTCTGAGTGAGCAACCATGGGTGGTGCACACGCTTCTAGCTTTCAATTCCCTGTCAGATACAGTGTTGAAAGATCACTCTCTGACGGTGAAATTCAGACCTTATTGTTTGAAGGAGATAAGGGTAGTAATATTGATGAAGCAAAGGACAATAAAGACCTAACACAAGTTACGGTGACAAGTTGGTGGTTGGTGATTATTCTTGTGTTTGAAGTGTTTTAAATGCACATTGGCTGTACATCCCTGGCTACTAAAGTTCAACCCGAGTAAATGTAAGGTAATAAAACTAGGCGGTGAAAACAGGAGGCCAGACACAGGATTCCAAATGGGAGATGAAGTCCTTCATGAAACAGACAGAGAGAAAGATCTAGAGGGCTGATATCATGCCAAACCTGTCCCCCTGAAGCCCACATAAAAAGAATAGCATCTGCAGCATATGCGAGGCTGGCTAACATCAGAACTGCCTTCAGGAACCTGTGTAAGAAATCATTCAGAACCTTGTATACCACATATGTAAGACCAATCCTGGAGTATGAGGCCCCAGCATGGAGCCCGTACCTTAAGCACAGGACTAAGTTGAAAAAGTTCAAAGGTATGCCACTAAGCTAGTCCCAGAACTAAGAGGCACGAGATGCGAGGAAAGGCTGCGTGAAATGCACCCCACATCACTTGAAGACAGGAGAGCTTGTGGAGACATGATCACTACCTACAAAATTCTAAGTGGAACCAACAGGGAAGATAGAGATAAACTGTTTAACACGGGGTACGAGAACAAGGGGACAAGTGGAAACTGAGTACCCAAATGAGCCACAAGGACATTAGAAAGAACTTTTTCAGTGTCAAAGTAGTTAACAGATGGAATGCATTAGGCAGTGATGTGGTGGAGGCCGACTCCATACACAGTTTCAAATGTAGATATGATAGAGCCCAGTAGGCTCAAGAATCTGTACACCAGTTGATTGACAGTTGAGAGGTGGGACCATAGAGCCAGAGCTCAACCCCTGCAAGCACAACTAAGTGAGTACAAGTGTTGGATGCAAATCATACAGCACAGATGAGGACAATACAGCGAGCATATCCAGAAGGGAAGCGCCAGGCGTCCTGTGGCCTCCTAGGCCATCGCCCTCGCCATTATTTTTACCAGCTGGAGCCTGAAAGCTGAGTGGACAGCACTCAGGATTCGTAGTCCTGAGGTTCCGGGTTCGATCCCCGGTGGATGCGGAAACAAATGGGCAGAGTTTCTTTCACCCTAATGCTCTGTTCACCTAGCAGTAAATAGGTACGTGGGATACACACAGAAATCACAGTGTGATGTATCAAATGAACAAATCCACAAGGGCTGTGATGAGGGTTCGAACTTACACTCGGGATGATCCCAGACGCTGCCTTAGTCGAATGCGCCACGACATGGAAAAAAACTGCAACCGGGAGTTCTACCGACCTCACTTGGATCCTGTAGCCTCTCTGAGACACAAACCAGGGTTTTACACAACTTCCCCATGCACTCGGGCTCTATCAACAGTCAAGTGTCACTTGACTGTGTCAAGTGGGCAAATCTGGTAGCTGCAGTTCCAGCCACCTGGTGGTGGGCAATCGCTAGAGGTTGAACCACCTAAAGACCAGATGGATCATTTCAGGGACTCCTCTTCTGTGTTGTGTTTACCGTACCAACTTTTGTCTTGGTCTACCTTTCTGGTGGCCTTGTCTTGGTCTGGGTGATCTTATATCTTCAGCCAGGTGCCTCTATAGAGGGGTAGGCCAGGTTTTTATCTTCTGGTCCTGGGTAAGCTTACAATGACTTGCAAGTGCCCGGTGTGAATCGAATTGGGTGGGGCTATCCGGATTGCTGGAAACATGCAGCATCTATAAGAGCTCTTCCAGGAAAGGAGTTAAGCATAAAAAAAAAAATATTTTGGCATAAGTTTGTGGATAATATGCAAGGTAAATTTTAATATGAGAAAGTTTAGATTTATTACCTTATATTAATAAGAAGATTCATAAAGAATAGATGTAGACATACTCCCTACATTATCGCATGCACTCTTTACAAATAAAGATGATTCAAAATTAATACTTGACAATCCTGGATTATGTAAGTATAAGAAGGAATAGATAAGAAGGAAACAAACATAAAACAATTCACTCACCAACAATGAGGTAGAAGCCTCCAAGGAGTGAGCTGACCCACGATACTTCTGAATTAGACACGTTAAACTCCTCCCGAAATTTAGGTAGCAGCATCCCACAAGAAAAGATGATTCCATCAACCACAACATTGCACATGAAAGACGCTGCCACAACCACCCAACCCCATCCTCCGTCAGGAGGTACCACATGTGTGGCCTGAAGGGGAGATATGAAACATATGGTTAGTTCAGCACCTCATGTTTGGCCTGAAGGAAAGATGTACAACATGTGTGGACTGAAGGGAAGATATGCAGCAAGTGTGGCCTGAAAGAAAGATATGCAACATGTAGTTCATCCAGCAACACAGGCGTGGGCTAAAGGGAAAATATGCAACATATCGTTGGTACAGCATCACATGTGTATATGGCTTGGAGGGAAGATATGCATTATGTAACATGTGTTTAGTACAGCACCATATGTAATTACCAAAGTGTAGTTAGGTAATGAGTGTAGTGTAGTTAGGCCACAAGCATAGCTCTCATCTTATAGGAATAGGGTTACGCTCGTGGTATCCTGTCTTCCCAATACTCGATCAAATAACGATTTGAAACTACTGATGGTTTTGGCCTCCACCACCTTCTCACTTAACTTGTTCCAACCGTCTTCTACCACTCTGTTTGCAAAAGAAAACTTTCTAATATTTGTTTGGCACCTTTGCTTCCTTAGCTTGAATCTATGTCCTCTTGTTCATGACGTTGCTGGTTTTAGGAATTCTTCTTCGTGAATTTGATCAATTCCTGTTATTATTTTGTAAGTGGTGATCATATCACCTCTTTTTCTTAAATTTTCTAGCTTTGACATTTATTTATTTATTTATATATATATACATGAAGGTACATTGGTACATTCTTGCAAAGCTACTAACACGCATAGCATTTTGGGCAGGTCCTTAATCTAACAGATAATTTTAAGTACTGTAGGTAATTTTAGCAAACTTTGAAGAATATTAACAGGTACATTGTAAGAAATTTTGAAGAAAATTAATAGGTACATTGTAGTAAATTTGGGGATTATTAACAGGTACAGTGTAGCATAATTTGCGGATTATTAATAAGTAAATTACTACCTATATATTAATAAATTATTAATAAGTTTATTAATAGGTACATTACGGTAAAATTTGCATTCAACATGTTCAACAACCATTATTATAAGATGATAGCAGTGATTTCATTGGTAAAGTTGCATGGCTTAGGCACATATATTGGGGGAGTGGTATCAGGGGTAGGGGATTTTATAAACTGATAATTGACTTTATTTTACTTTACTTATTAGCAAACAGAGACCCCTACCCCTTCTCTGATAAAATAAGATCAACCACTGCAACTACACTGCTGCTGTTGTCAATGTGTGTGTTGTCACAAAGATATCAATATTTTATTCCAGCTGAGGTATTAGATTCTACTGACCAAAACTGCCTCCTTAGCTTGAGGTTCTTCGAACTCATCATCACTGGCACCAATAACAAACTTGGCAGGAATGGCATTTTGGTGTTTGATGTCGTCAGCGGTGTCATCAACGATGGTCGTCTCCAACATGGTGATGCTCGGACAGAACACCTGCAACATATATACAACTATGTACAAAATAGTAATGCTAAATACAGGAGCAACTCTCAGCCCTAGGAACAATGTCAGGAAATTAAATTGTTTATTTCACAAATCCCAGAAGCCTAATAAATAAATTTGCCTCATATGCGTATGCTGAAAATCCTGACATCATTGATGATGTCAGGATTTTCCTGACACACACACATACACAATATATATATATATATATATATATATATATATATATATATATATATATATATATATATATATATATATATATATATATATATATATATATATATATATATATATATATACATATACATATATACATATACATATATACACATACATATATACACATACATATATACACATACATATATACACATACATATATACACATACATATATACACATACATATATACACATACATATATACACATACATATATACACATACATATATACACACGGCAGGCCATATCACTCAATTTTAAAAATTTGCTGAAACGCTTTCAAATGTTTTGTGCATAATCTAAAAATTAAAGATTTTCAAATCAGCTCAGAATAGCATATGATCTTCATTTTCATAAGTTGAGAATATAGGTTTTCAGTAAAGTTTACTGTAAAAAAAATGAAGTTAAGAAAAAATACCCCCCCCCAAAAAAAAAACATAGGGATACAGTAATTATAATAATTATAATGATTTAGGGGATATATTTAGTGAATACTTTATATAAGTGAAAAAAACCTAATCTTTTCCCTAATCATCAAAACAACCTAAAGACAAATAAAATAGAGTTTTAAATCTGTGAAAAAATCAGCCAAAATAAATTCAACGTCCTAAGTTCTGCGAGTTGTGACCGATTTATTTGTTGACCAATTTCATTCTAACTTCACATAGTTAGGGACGGGTATGCATTCTCCAGGATATATAGGTTACAACAAAATCAGACAATAAACAAAGAAAAAAATCTAAAAAAAAAAAAAAAAAATCCCCCTATTTTTTTTTATCATTGCTGAAGGTAACAGATATAAACACTGGGCAATGGAAAATACAGTATGAGAAAGACAATGAACCGCCCCTTAAGGGCGATTCTGATCCAATCGTGAAGAAACACCTAACTTAACTCATTTTTATCAAGAGCTGTATGAATCGTGTTTAGCATACTAATAAGTGCATCGTTATAACCATGTATTTAAAAGCAATTCTGAAGTTAGAAAGTGTAGCATAGGCTCCTCGTACAATGTTCTTAATGTTGTCCTTAGATGACAGTTTTCTATTTAGAACCACCCCAAGATCCCTTTCTTTGTCAGAATTCTTTACAGATTTCTCACATAATTTATAGGTTGTGTGGGGTCTATGCTCTCCAACTCCACATTTCAAAACATGGCATTTATTCAAATTAAATTCCATTTACCACCTGGTGCTCCATATACAGTACTTATTTTGTCCTCGTCATCACAATGGGTAGCAACACCAGGATTGTCAACACCATGGTTGTCAACACCAGGGTTGTCAACACCATGGTTGTCAACACCATGGTTGTCAACACCATGGTTGTCAACACCAGGGTTGTCAACACCAGGGTTGTCAACACCAGTGTTGTCAACACCAGGGTTGTCAACACCAGGGTTGTCAACACCAGTGTTGTCAACACCAGGGTTGTCAACACCAGGGTTGTCAACACCAGGGTTGTCAACACCATGGTTGTCAACACCAGGGTTGTCAACACCAGGGTTGTCAACACCATGGTTGTCAACACCAGGGTTGTCAACACCAGGGTTGTCAACACCATGGTTGTCAACACCATGGTTGTCAACACCATGGTTGTCAACACCAGGGTTGTCAACACCAGGGTTGTCAACACCAGGGTTGTCAACACCAGGATTGTCAACACCAGGGTTGTCAACACCAGGATTGTCAACACCAGGGTTGTCAACACCAGGGTTGTCAACACCAGGGTTGTCAACACCATGGTTGTCAACACCAGGGTTGTCAACACCATGGTTGTCAACACCAGGGTTGTCAACACCAGGATTGTCAACACCAGGGTTGTCAACACCAGGATTGTCAACACCAGGGTTGTCAACACCAGGGTTGTCAACACCAGGGTTGTCAACACCAGGGTTGTCAACACCATGGTTGTCAACACCAGGGTTGTCAACACCAGGGTTGTCAACACCAGGGTTGTCAACACCATGGTTGTCAACACCAGGGTTGTCAACACCAGGGTTGTCAACACCAGGGTTGTCAACACCAGGGTTGTCAACACCAAGGTTGTCAACACCAGGGTTGTCAACACCAGGGTTGTCAACACCAGGGTTGTCAACACCATGGTTGTCAACACCAGGGTTGTCAACACCAGGGTTGTCAACACCAGGGTTGTCAACACCAGGGTTGTCAACACCATGGTTGTCAACACCAGGGTTGTCAACACCATGGTTGTCAACACCAGGGTTGTCAACACCAGGGTTGTCAACACCAGGGTTGTCAACACCATGGTTGTCAACACCAGGGTTGTCAACACCAGGGTTGTCAACACCAGGGTTGTCAACACCAGGGTTGTCAACACCATGGTTGTCAACACCAGGGTTGTCAACACCAGGGTTGTCAACACCAGGGTTGTCAACACCATGGTTGTCAACACCAGGGTTGTCAACACCAGGGTTGTCAACACCAGGGTTGTCAACACCAGGGTTGTCAACACCAGGGTTGTCAACACCATGGTTAACAACACCAGGGTTGTCAACACCAGGGTTGTCAACACCAGGGTTGTCAACACCAGGGTTGTCAACACCATGGTTAACAACACCAGGGTTGTCAACACCATGGTTAACAACACCAGGGTTGTCAACACCAGGGTAACAACACCAGGGTTGTCAACACCATGGTTAACAACACCAGGGTTGTCAACACCATGGTTAACAACACCAGGGTTGTCAACACCATGGTTAACAACACCAGGGTTGTCAACACCATGGTTAACAACACCAGGGTTGTCAACACCATGGTTAACAACACCAGGGTTGTCAACACCAGGGTAACAACACCAGGGTAACACACAATAAATAGGGGACACACAAGTGAGAGGAAACGCCAAACATGTACTATTGATCGTAGAGTGTCGCAGTGTTCCTCCCTTACTCCTCCCTCACTCCTCCCTTACCTCACCCCTCACTCCTCCCTTACCTCACCCTCACTCCTCCTTTACCTCACCCTCACTCCTCCCTTACCTCACCCCTCACTCCTCCCTTACCTCACCCCTCACTCCTCCCTTACCTCACCCTCACTCTTCCCTTACCTCACCCCTCACTCCTCCCTTACCTCACCCCTCACTCCTCCCTTACCTCACCCCTCACTCCTCCCTTACCTCACCCTCACTCCTCCCTTACCTCACCCCTCACTCCTCCCTTACCTCACCCCTCACTCCTCCCTTACCTCACCCCTCACTCCTCCCTTACCTCACCCTCACTCCCCCCTTCCCTTACCTCAGTCCTCCCTTACCTCACCCTCACTCCTCCCTTACCTTACCTCAGTGGTAGTAGACACATCTACCCCAACAGTAGTGGTAGTAGACACATCTACCCCAACAGTAGTGGTAGTAGACACATCTACCCCAACAGTAGTGGTAGTAGACACATCTACCCCCACAGTGAGTGGTAGTAGACACATCTACCCCCACAATGAGTGGTAGTAGACACATCTACCCCAACAGTGAGTGGTAGTAGACACATCTACCCCAACAGTGAGTGGTAGTAGACACATCTACCCCAACAGTGAGTGGTAGTAGACACATCTACCCCAACAGTGAGTGGTAGTAGACACATCTACCCCAACAGTGAGTGGTAGTAGACACATCTACCCCAACAATGAGTGGTAGTAGACACATCTACCCCAACAGTGAGTGGTAGTAGACACATCTACCCCAACAATGAGTGGTAGTAGACACATCTACCCCAACAGTGAGTGGCAGTAGACACATCTACCCCAACAGTGAGTGGTAGTAGACACATCTACCCCCACAGTGTATAAGCAGTATACATGCCATTAATATATCATAATAGTGAAGAAGTTTCTCATCACAAGACAAACTTACCTAAGTTTCATATACTGTATTTGGTAGTTAGTGTCGAGTGTAGCAGCAGCACAAAGTTGTGTAGTCCAGTATGGTGGTTTTGGAGTGAGAAGTGTTGGAGGATGGTGAGGATGGTGGCGCAGTAGTGAGGGCCTCCACCACACACACTCACACTCACCATCACACTTCACACTAGCCCTATCCTTATCACTGTTAAATTATCTTGTTTTCTCAGTTTGACCTTCACCCGATCCGCTAATGAATGTGACTGGTCAACAGACATGTATTAACGAGACTCTTTATAGCAGGGATGGTCGGGATGACCGGGTAGTGTGTGGCACTGTGCACTGTTGGTGCTGTGCTGCTGCTCCTACACCTGAGGCAGTGTGGCCACCCTCCACCACACACTGTTGGTGCTGTGCTGCTGCTGCTACACCTGAGGCAGTGTGGCCACCCTCCACCACACACTGTTGGTGCTGTGCTGCTCCTACACCTGAGGCAGTGATACGGTACTGGCTGGGGGTACCTGGTGTGGCCCTTCACCTGGGACACTACCAACACTACCATGCTTGCTCAAGCAGGCTTGCTCACCTGCATGTTGCCCACCTGGGAGAATGACTCATGTAAGATCATTGTAAACAACATTATGACAACGAACAAGTCCAAGGTACCGCAAGGAGCGAGGCATAAGGTACCGCAAGGAGCGAGGCATGAGGTACCGCAAGGAGCGAGGCATAAGATACCGCAAGGAGCGAGGCATAAGGTACCGCAAGGAGCGAGGCATAAGGTACCGCAAGGAGCGAGGCATAAGGTACCGCAAGGAGCGAGGCATGAGGTACCGCAAGGAGCGAGGCATAAGATACCGCAAGGAGCGAGGCATAAGATACCGCAAGGAGCGAGGCATAAGGTACCGCAAGGAGCGAGGCATAAGGTACCGCAAGGAGCGAGGCATAAGGTACCGCAAGGAGCGAGGCATAAGGTACCGCAAGGAGCGAGGCATAAGGTACCGCAAGGAGCGAGGCATAAGGTACCGCAAGGAGCGAGGCATAACGTACCGCAAGGAGCGAGGCATAAGGTACCGCAAGGAGCGAGGCATAAGGTACCGCAAGGAGCGAGGCATAAAATGAATCGTATCCTATGTACACTGATGGTTCATCTTAAACTACTAATTACAGGGCCTTAGCAGCATACTCTATAATTGGGAATAATTTCTTTAAAAACAGAAATAAAGGAAAAAGCACGTATAGAGAACTATGCCTCTTCAAGGCAAGCAAAGCTAACTGCCAATGTTGTTGTCTGAGATTACTGTTGGTAACGAAGTAAAATGCTTAGAGCACTGTGCCAGGTAAGTCCACTACGGGCTCACCATAGCCCGTGCTACTTGTAACTTGTTCCCAGCAGTTGAATCTAAATGAACAACAATGACAGCTTAGAGCAAGAGCACAAGATGATGACATCTTGTCAGACAGGTGGTGTCTGATATCTCCCTGGTGGTGCAGGGAGATATCTTCCTGGTGGTGCAGGGAGATATCTTCCTGGTGGTACAGGGAGATATCTCCCTGGTGGTGCAGGGAGATATCTTCCTGGTGGTGCAGGGAGATATCTTCCTGGAGGTACAGGGAGATATCTCCCTGGTGGTTCAGGGAGACCCCCAGTCCCCGGCTCACCATAAACAGTTCATCTTGATGTCTAGTACATGGAGGAGGATCTCTTTGTGGGACAAATTCGGCAAAACTTTACAATATGAGGGAGAAAAGATCTGAAACACCATGAGCTTAACATCTAATTTATTAAACATAAAGCGAAACTTGATATACGTTTGTAAATGAGGATAATTGTCTTGGACAATTATTACACACACACACACCAGGAAGCAGTCCGTGACAGCTGACTAACTCCCAGGTACCTATTTACTGCTAGGTAACAGGGGCATTCAGGGTGAAAGAAACTTTGCCCATTAGTTTTCTGCCTGGTGCGGGAATCGAACCCGCGCCACAGAATTACGAATCCTGCGCGCTGTCCACCAGGCTACCAGGCCCCCAGGCTCTGTGTGTGTGTGTGTGTGTGTGTGTGTGTGTGTGTGTGTGTGTGTGTGTGTGTGTGTGTGTGTGTGTGTGTGTGTGTGTGCGATTATTTCATTACCATGTTGTTCATAAGAATGTTTGTTCGATTATATCATGTTTTAAACTTCCTTATCTGATAAGATACATGACCAGATAAATCTTGATAGTAAAGGTTAAACTTATAAAATTTATCCTTAAATGCACGTGTTGTGGAGTTTATTAGTCAGGCGCTGAAGGGCAATGTTTGCCGCCTCTACGTCAGCGTGACTATGAGCAGCAGTCTTCCCTACCACAACACCACGCTCCATCAGCCCCAAACACCACAACACCACGCTCCATCAGCCCCAAACACCACAACACCACGCTCCATCAGCCCCAAACACCACAACACCACGCTCCATCAGCCCCAAACACCACAACACCACGCTCCATCAGCCCCAAACACCACAACACCACGCTCCATCAGCCCCAAACACCACAACACCACGCTCCATCAGCCCTAAACACCACAACACCACGCTCCATCAGCCCTAAACACCACTCAACGCATGAAAAATCCGGTAATGGGGCTATTTCTTCACTATTGTGCATTCTGCTTCTGGGGGAGGAGATAGCACCAGTACCCTAAAGGAACTTGGTTTCTTACTAACCTCTCAAACTAACCATCTGATGCAGTTAAGCAATTAAATGTTGTGTCCAACCTTTCATCTGTCGGAAACGTGATTGTTGTGATGACTCTGCTCTTGGTTATCTTGGATGAGTGACAGCCAAGATATATTGCCTTTAATTTCGTAATAAAATGATACTATTTCAGAGTAAAAAGTATGTATTTACATGTTCTACATTCAGCACCAATATTAGAGTAAGAAATATAAAAAGTAAGACAAATTATTACTCGCTATAATGTTGGTGCTCAATGTAGAACATGTAAATACATATTTTTTACTCTGAAATATTATCATTTTATAACGAAATTAAAGGCAACAATATATTTTGAATGTCACGCAACACTGTCGCTTGGATCGTCGACTTCCTATTGCGTCACCTGCCACTTAGAGTTCTGCTTTTGGAGCCTTGTAGCCAGGCTCCAAGCTGAATTCAGGATAAGTATGGGGTGCATAATAAACTAGCCGTCTCCGACGGGTGCAATCACAATCTTCTTAACTGCCTTGACCCCTCACTTGGCGTGTGGCCCATTAGGCTCCTCCCTTTACATCCAAGAACCAATCACGAGCTGGGTTACAAAACACTCTAGGTGTCTGTACACTGGCACCCTAGTACAAGGCTGGGCAGCCTTGTACACCAAACACAATATTACCGTCATATTGTTTACACCAAACACAATATGAGACTGAGACATCGTTATCCTAGCCATGGATATACAAAAACAAATGACCATCTCCATACTGTGTTATCGATACATGTGCGATAGTTATTGATACCGTTATCACAATGAGTACAGTACAGGCCAGTAATTAATGCATTATCATCTGAGCCGTCTAATGATAGTCATGTCGGCAAGCCATGACATGCATACAATAATGATAAAACATTTCATTACAGCCTTAAGGACAAGGCAGCCTCAATAACAACCTTCCTAATATAAGTCTTATTGATAAAACATTTCATTACAGCCTTAAGGCCGAGGCAGCCTCAATAACAACCTTCCTAATATAAGTCTATGTATTGATCTTTACAATTTCTTTAAGAACTTGGAATGTTGTAATCTTATATGATCAATATAGGTTCTATAAGGTATTTTATACTGACTGGTGAGCCATGGCATCTTATACAATATTGGGTCTACTTCAGCTGGATGTTGTAAATCCTTTACCAATACTCTACAGTTTTCTAAAGCCTTTGATAGGGAAGGAATCTAACTCTTATTTCTCAAGCAACTTCTCTAGGCTATTCCATGTCCCTTGTTGTATAGATATCTCAAGTTGTGTCTTCTCCGTGAAGTGCAGTCTTATATGAGGTAATAGCCTGTCGCCAGCTGTTTTCTTATGGCTTATTATTAATCTTTACCTGACATATAATGCTATTCGTCTTATGTGAACTGCCTCTCTTTGCACTTAAGTCCTCTTAAATTGTCAATTACAAAGCTAATGCCAAGCCGTTACCCACTTCGGAAACTTCTATATTGAATCTCAATCCTCTAACAATATGATGAAAATTGTTGACATGAACTCATGACAGTTAAGACTATTTACCCTTGTCCTAGAGCAGTACTCACACACTTGGGACAGTTGTCTCTTGTCCTAGAGCAGTACTCACACACTTGGGACAGTTCTCTCTTGTCCTAGAGCAGTACTCACACACTTGGGACAGTTGACCCTTGTCCTAGAGCAGTACTCACACACTTGGGACAGTTGACCCTTGTCCTAGAGCAGTACTCACACACTTGGGACAGTTGACCCTTGTCCTAGAGCAGTACTCACACACTTGGGACAGTTGACCCTTGTCCTAGAGCAGTACTCACACACTTGGGACAGTTGACCCTTGTCCTAGAGCAGTACTCACACACTTGGGACAGTTGACCCTTGTCCTAGAGCAGTACTCACACACTTGGGACAGTTGACCCTTGTCCTAGAGCAGTACTCACACACTTGAGACAGTTGACCCTTGTCCTAGAGCAGTACTCACACACTTGGGACAGTTGACCCTTGTCCTAGAGCAGTACTCACACACTTGGGACAGTTGACCCTTGTCCTAGAGCAGTACTCACACACTTGGGACAGTTGTCTCTTGTCCTAGAGCAGTACTCACACACTTGGGACAGTGTACATGAAGACAACCATCTATAGTGGTCTCCACGGTGTCAGGAAAAAATCTAACATCTCTGAGTCTCGTTTGTGTATCTAGCTTAATACTGCGCACTTTGTTCTGCTCTTGCTACCTCTGAACAATGTTTGTCTACTTGAACAATGCTTGTCAATTCTTCTTAAAATTTGATGTCGCTAACATGTCCCCTCTATGCCTCCTCCCGTGCAACCCATTCTCGCACTTTCTTATAGTCAATATTGACTTATTAAATAAGTGCATATGTGACATATTAATTTATTGTGAATATTTTAGTTTACCTTGAAAAGCTTCATAGAAAACACCGACCTTACCTAACCTTCTTAGTATGTTAAGAAAAGCATCTTATTGCTTCCTAATTACAATTATTACTTAACCTATACCTATAATAGATTAAGTAATAATTGTAATAGGTTAAGTAATAATTGTAATTACAAAGCAATAAGATGCTTATCTTAACATACTAAGAAGGTTAGGTAAGGTCGGTGTTTTCTATGAAGCTTTTCAAGGTAAACTAAAATATTCACAATAAATTAGTATGTCACATATGCACTTATTTAATAAGTCAATATTGACTGTAAGAAAGTGCGAGAACGGGTTGCAACGTGAGACGAAGGCCAATTGCTTCAATGTTATCCACAACTCAAAAAATTGCCTTGTTGCATATCTTTTTAGCTTTTTGTAGCTTT